CGCAGGCATTTTAGGTCAAGTTACCACCAGAGCCCTTCATCATGGCCGGTTCTTCCCCCGATTCCTATCTCTTGGACGACGTCACCTGGACACCAGACCCGGACATGGACTCAGACCTGGACGCCTCCTCCGCACATGATGCTGGTCTACCTCCCGCCGGTTCAGATGTTGATGGGGACCCCACACCTCATCACACCCTTCCTCTTTCTCCCTCTCCTCTCCCCAGAACACCCGCCAGCAAACGCCGTCGACGACATCGCCACCACACTACCTCCTCTTCTTCCACATCATCCCGACCTTCCAAGGCCACGTCAACATCATCTTCGACATCTTCATCGTCTTCATCCTCTTCTTTGTGCCCCACTACGGAACTACGAACACTGGACCCACCTATTTCCTCGTCCCGTTCGAAGACACGCCCACGGAAGACACCTTCGGGGACCAGCACTACCACTCCAGCGACAGGAGCTACACCAGCCCCGACCAATTCTCCCTCAGCGACATTACACGCTCCCCCTCGTGTCCGAATTCCTCCCCGAGGAAATGGTTATACATTACATCGAGTACGCCGCAGCAAGTCGGGCACTACACATTCCACCGTATCATTCCATGGAGATGCCGCAGAACGTCGCCGACAACAGTGGCTCCGACAATGGCGCCAATGCACTCCTGCCTCCCCGTACTATCAGGACGTGCAGAACTGCATCAGACATCGCGCCCGCATTATGTTGGACATCATAGCACATGAACGAGGAGGACCCACTGCAGCCTCGGACAATTTACGGATACGACGCCGCTATCACCTACCAGAAGACCAACTCATTCCTTTGGCACTCATCTACCGGGATTGTGCTGCTCGCCGACGACGGTCCGTCCGTGAAGTTCTGAGTACCTGATTCCACCGAGATCCCGCTCTGGAAAACATGCCCGATAACTCCGTTTCGTCAGTCCCATACCCGCAGCCTTTTCACCGCAGCTTTTCTGTACAAACACAGTTGGTTTCCCTTCCTCACCAACGAATGGCTTCCTTCATTGACGTCCTCCCCTTGCTCCTCTCCTATTTCGAGATGCAGACTGTGATACAATTGGATCCCCGTCATTGCCAACGTCCACACACTGACGACCGCCACACCACCCGTTCCGCCTTCTCCATTTTGACCGCACATCACGGCGATTGTTCCTGGCACCAATGTGGCGTTTGGCAACAGTTCCTCGCCGCCCTTCAAGATCACAAGATGAGCGCCCACAACTTCTTTGGCTTCCACACGACAACACGGTGTTCACGATCTATCACTATCAGCCCTCGGTCATTGTATACTGCAATCAACTGTGTTGGCGAGCCCACGTCCACCTACGTTCTGCATCACGACTTTGCCTACGTGTCCGTATTCGAGACCCCACCCTAGCACAGTGGCGACCTACTTCGTCTGGACCCTGGATTACCACATGCTGGTGTTCAGCGCATTGCCTTTCCTTTTCCAAATGGACACCTACGATTTCTCGCCGCCACTCACCTCCTCCACCCATCGCAACGGACAATCCTTATTGGCAACAAGAACAACAACGACATGGTCTTCTCCCCGCTCTGAGACGGTGAAGCTTTGGAGGACACGGACGGCAATTTTTGAGACAAAGACCCTCACTTGCGCATCTTGACCCTGGTCCTTTTGCTCCACCGCAGCCTTTTCAGCAATATTTGGTTAGTCCTCCGCCTCTCCTTTCCTTCCTTTCGTCGCCCGTACACTCATGGCCCCGCACCTATTCGACATTCCTTTGGAATGGTGGCTTGACTACCTGGTGGAGCTCCGAGTATGGCAAGTTCGTCCGATGACCTCCCCCGATCTCCAGATCCCTAGCACCCTCCTTGACCCACGTTTTGTGATATCGCAACACCGATTCACCACATCTCAGAACCGCTACTACCTCGACACCCTCCACGGACTTTGTCAACTCAACCCTTCTTTCCAACGACTGGATTACTATGACCCGGACATTTGCGGTTACCAGTACAGCATGTTCACAACTGCACCATCTCCGAGTGTACTTCACGCACTACTTCTCGCCGACCGTCGACTACATTCCAACATGAGTCAACTGATACTGCGTCATCGCTGGCAACTTTGTCTTGGTCTACTGGCACCTAGAGTCTACGCTCGTCATGTTGATCGACGTCACTTTCAAAGGCACGAATTGCCAACTCCTCTTCGAGAAGTTCTACATCGACTTGCCTTGCACCGCTGCCAGATCCTGCAAGTTCACCCGATGGCTCTACCTGCTCTACATGCTCACCGTCTTCGTCTGATTAATTCACCCCGCTACCGCGGGGTGTGTGTGTGACAACCCTGTATCCAAGGGCCTTCTCCTCACGCTCTGCAGCCATTTCCTATTTACGATGTACATATAACTGAACTTGAGTGCAGATTACACAGCAGGGGGTGGCAGCAGGGTCCAGAGTCTGCCACCAACGAAGACACTCTGGATACCCTGGTGAAGCACGGTCTGATCAACCGTGTGTACCTGCCGTTTGTGACATCGTATATCATCTTTGCTGTACATTGGTTTCACTTGGCTATTATTATTCTGGTTGCGCTTCTCTGGATATGGCATGGGGCTAAGCCGAGAACCCCGACCAGTCGTTCTCCTGCAGCTATGGTATCACTTCAGAAACAGTCAGTGCTTGAGTTCATGTCGTCTGGTATGCGCTGGTTTCTGGATGGCCTGGGGCTAAGCCGAGAACCCCGTTTAGTACGTACACTTGCAAGCATTGCTCAGTGCCAGTGTCCACCTCTTCAGTCCTTGCCGTGTCCTCCGGTGCGTTGGGGTTCAGGCTGGCGTTGTGGTTTAGTTAGGCAGGTTGAGGTGTCAGCCACAGACTTTCTGCACTTCCTCTTTGCAGTTGCTGTCCATGAAGCTACCTGTCCGAAGTCTCTGATGTGTGGTCACTTGAGACCTGGACATCAGGTGGTCCGTCGCATACCGAAACCTTCCTTAGCATTCAGTGTGTGAACTGAACACCACGGGCAAGTTCGTCCGAACTGAAAGGTCTCCCTGTTAAGCCCCGGGGAAAAAGACACTCCTCCAGTCAACAACGAATCAGTCAAACAGGACCTTGGACTCGCCAAGCTTACCAAGCTGGGTGTTTCTGTTCAAGAGAAGCCAGACAAGCCCGAACAACCCCATCGCAACCTCGGGCAGACTTCGTGATCAAAAGGGGGAGTCGACTTTGTACAAGAGCGCCAACCTGACTGCATGGGTAGATAAATAGACGGATAGATGGGCAGATAGGGACTGAGACCGAAGACACAGCAAGAGGGAGAGAGAGAGAGATTTAGAATACCACATGACGGAGTGAGCAAGCATATGCAATTATGCATGTATGTAAGAGCGAACTGTTCCACACATTACACACGCAGACACAGGCAGACAAGCACGGACATGTGTATGTTGATTAAGTACGTGCATGTGTATATATGTATGTACACATATGTGTGTATAGACATAGATAGAAAGTTACTTGTCTTTGCGTATCTACACGTACATGTACATGTATGTTGCTTTATACTCATATTCATACATACTAATACTGTTATGCTTATTTTAAAGTAGTCTTGGCTCCCGCATGGCATGTCATACTATATATCTCATACTATACTATATTCTGTTAGCTTATAGCATCGTGTAGCAAAGCATAGTAAACTGTATGCTCTTATATTCTTCTGCAGTGGTATGTATGTACTTGTATCTATACACACACACACAATTTCGGTGTGTGTGTGTGTGTGTGTGTCTTGCACTCGGATGGGTGGGTATGTGTCTGTCTGTGTGCGTGTGTGTGCGCGTCTGTTTGTTCTGTATGGACGCAAGTTCGCCTGTCTGTCCGCATGTCTGCCTGTCTGTATCTCTGTGTATGTCTGCATGTATGTCTGCATGTTTGCGAGCACCTGCCAATATGCATGTATGTATGTATGCATGTGTGTATGAATACGTACCTACAGTACATACTGTGTATAGAATATCTACTGACATTTTGGCATGGTTTTGCACCTCCACCGCTTCGGTCGGGCGTTGCCGTAAATCTTGCTTCCATTCGAGTCCTCAACGGCCATAATAGGCGGGATGCCGGGAAGTCAAAGGACAGCAACCCTTCCAGCCCAACTCGAAACAAGCGGTACGAAGGGTTCCGCAGTTCCGCCATGAGTGCAACGATTTCAGCCACCTGCCGTCAAGTACCGGTGAGACACCTCCTCGCAGTTGCTAAAGACGCAGACTCGCATCAGCACCGTGAAAGTCCCAGCACCAAAGTGGAACTTTAAGGAAGAGTATTGCAAATTGCTAGGGCCAATGCATCAATATAGGGTGCTGCATAGTGCCAAGCATATATACTTCCTGTCGGGTCAAAAGCAGCTACTGGGCAGCGCCCGCCTGCCCTACAAGCAAGAATTGCCAGCGCATGAAGGGGATGACAGCCAAAAGAAATCCCAAAGCTAAGAGTGCCACACCAACAGCAGCCACGGCACAGGCGAGAGTGCGTACAGCACACCTGCATGCCGTGAGCTTTAGGCTGCACGAAGACGAGCGCTCCCAGAAGTGGGGACTCTCTCTTTCCGGGTGCGAATCTCTTAGTTAGGGCACGAGAGCTCTGGATGTGAGACAGTACCACTTCACCCCATGGCTGCATCTCGATGAACCATATCCGTGTCCATCTGCCAATGCTGCATCGTCGTCGGGGTTCTCCGTGTTGCTGTTTCAACCCACGGCGCCACTTCAGGAGCCCGTCGCTGCGAGTTTGCGCCACCTTGGAAGAGTACGGATAACAGATCGGGCTTTGCGACACTCGCAACAGACGAGGCGCTCGAAGACCTGATTGTCACCATCAAGCTCCACTTTCCTAAAAAATGCGGCGAGGAAGGCATTCCGGAATTCGCCAGGACACAAAGCACAAAGCGTTGGTATTAGATACACTAAGCTTTCCGAGCATCTTCAGGAGAAGGCCCGGGATGTCACTCCAACTTTGCCGCCTCACCTCACATGCACAGCTCCACCGCCACAGTTCTTCATGGTACACATGGCGCTAGTAGCAGGCCTCCAAGGGCGGTAAGTTGTACCATCGTTGGACATCACTTCCATCTGCACACCGCCAAGCAACCCAGTAAGTATGAGCCTCGATGCTGTCCTCCATGCAGGGGACAGTGTCGGGGCTGGGACAGTGCTTGATGCTCGGGGCGCTGACGTGCGCAGCATCCCCCGAACACTGGTCGGTCTCAAGAAGACGAAACGAGTGCCGACAACAGTGAAGTCCTCGCCTCTACGGGCTTGCCTCGCTTCGCGACAGCTTTTGCTCGAGGATCCCAGCAGGATGCCAGGAGCCTTCCCCCTGAGAAAACGCACCTCTGCCTCTCAGCCTCCCTCTCGCTCTCTCGGCATTTTGGTCGTTTCTCAAACGGCCCTCGCCTGGGCGCAGCAGCCGCGTGAAATCCTCCAGGGCAGCTCTGGACTCCGCCAGGGGCAGGTGGTGCAAGACCGCACCTTAGAACGCCAAAAAGGCGAGAGGCCGCGGCGGCCGACCACGCGTGCGCGTGCCGCAACAAGGCAAATCGCAATGGCACAGAGTGCACGGCGGCCGAGATGCAGGAAAGGACATCCTGGACGGATTCATCTGGCAAGGGCACACTCCTGGTGTCGCCATGCAAGAAAACCAGGCTTTCTCCGCTGTCTCCGAGCCGCCGCTGAGCTGCCTGGAGCATGCCCTCGGACAAGTCCAGGGCGAAGATGCGGCGAAAGCCCAAATCCAGGGCTGTCTGAACATGCCTGCCGTCTCCACAACCAGCCACCAGTAGTGTGTCCCTGCGACTGGCCCCTAGCCATTTCACAACGAAGGGCCAGGGGAAGCGCCGGCTTTCTGCAAAATTCGCAGAGATCTTGTCGTAGGCTGCCTCCACCGTTGCCCACGGGTTTGGTGGGCTCGCGCAAGGCTGCCCGCATCTTCCGAGATTCTCTGGAATTCTGGGACATGCCTTTGGATGAGTCCCGACAAATCCAACGTGCGAAGTCAAAACAAACAAGACCAGCTGGACTGTCCAATTCCAGTATGTGCACCGCACCCCGCGCATCAGCGCAGAGCTCACCCCTTGCTCATCACTGTACAGGCACTTCTACTTGGGTTTCAGGACTACAGGAAACAGGAAACATGCCGTAACTGCAACTGTCTGGGGAAATGGCTCGAAGGGTGGTCGAACATGCGTTAGAGTTGGCCTTGTCTGTGCAAACGTGGAACGCTCCACCTCTACTCAAGCCGTTTGAGCCAAAGGCTCGGTCCACTCCTACAGGTAGCATAGACAAGGGCGCAAGACGAAGAAGGTGGTGAAATATCTGTCAAGCATGTTGGAAGCGTCCGAAGGCAAGGCTCGCCTCCCAATGCTGAACAAAGCAAGCAGCTGCACAACAGCACCTCGCTGCACAGGAGCACCCCCCCTGCTTTGACCGACATGAGCCTAAAGAGCTCACTAATTTGGCAACCTGATTCGGGAACACTGCACAGTTCCGAAAAGCACAAGTGCCGCTTCTCCTGCCGTCATCGTTTCCATCACCACTGGACTGGACTCGCAGGCGACCTGGAAGTCCCAGCGATCTCCCAAAGCTCCGATAATCCTGCAGCTGCAAAATGACTTCGTCTCCACGTTTTGGAAGTTTCAAGGCGTGTGCTCAGTCTGACGTGCGAGCAAGGCGCGGCTGGCAAATCACTCGAGTCAGCGAGAAAGTGCCAATCACAAGCCCAAAATACCTTTCACAGGCAGTCTCGACGCACTGGGGCTGTTCAAACTTCACCCAAGGCCCAAGGGATGGTGTCAAGGGCAAGCTGGAACGAGTACTGTGCTCAGTTGACTTGCAGAAGGGCTTTGGCTAAGCATTGTCAGCGAGAGGGGGGGTCACACCGATTGTCTTTCGAGGCTCGGATTTGCCGCATCCGTTCCCAAGGCACTTAGCTCATGAACAGTTACCTGGGCAAGCCTCATGTGCCTCTACCTTGAGAAGCATGCCAGACCTAGGTGCACCTGTACGGATGGGTAATGTAGTATTGTAGTGAATTATGCATAGATGTAGCAGGATGATCTAACAAGTGCCGCGGCGAGGGCAAAGGGGGATCAAGGACAGCCTCGTTAAATATGTCGGTCTTCCAGACTGTCGTTTTCCAACCGAGCCACATCTCAGGCGAACCCATCTTCTGCAGCAAGGGCCACAGCGTGGGGATGACCATGCCCCACCTCAAGGTTTCATGCCCACCTTTAAGCATGTGATCCTGATGCCGATTGCACCCGGTCCCGGCTCGGGTCCCGGCTCGAACGTGCCGAGGAAGATCACATAGCACAGTGCCCCCAGGCCTTTGGGTTCCTGGTCCTGCGAGAACTGTACACGGCCCTCAGCTCAAACCAAAAATGCACTTGTGCGAGCACACATGTCACGCGAGGCAGTGCTGTCGACTCGTACGAAGCGGCCCGTGCCTCTAGGCGAGAGTACATGGCTCCGCAACGACTACCGTGCCATGGCTGTGGGTACAGGCTTCGATCTTTCCAGTGGCCTGCAGGTTCAGATCGGGCATTGCTGGGGAGCTCTGATCCGTTGCGTGGCTCAGCGTCTTAGTTGTGAGTTGGCATGCTGCAGCCAAATCAATGGTTCACACACCACCAAGCTGGATCACGCCGAGACGTTCGCAACCTTTTCCGGTATGTGAAAACGATCGCAGATAGCCGCTGAAGATAGCTGAAGCTGGCAGCGAGCTTCGCTCGCTGATGCTGTGACAGCATAGGACAGCCAGGAAAATCCGTAAGCGCCAGTAGTTTTACATGTGCACAATGTTCCGAAATCACTGGGCTGCGTCTGAGTGCTGGCTTCTCACAGAAAATGCGCCAGACGGCGCTGAGAGAGAAACACAAGCACATCGTCCATCAGAAAGCAGCATGACCTCAGGGGCGCGGGGGGACTGTAGGCTGGACAGTACACCGAGAGTCAAGGACGGAACCAGGGTACCGTGGAAACGGAATGACATCACGAATGTTCTGGACCTCAAGAAGCCCAGAGAGTTCTGGCGGCTCCCGCTCAGTCACTTCAGCCTGTTCCCCGAGTTCCCTGCACCGGTGCAGAGCATGACAAGTCTCTCGAAACCGACTCCAAATCCAGCGTGGGGGACGGAGCCAAATTTTCCTGAGCATCCAAGAAGTAATGGAAGCAGATGCCAAGGTTCCAGAGACTCACCAGAGGCCTGGACTGAGATCTCGGTACCACCAATAATCATCCTTGTTTAAGCCCATCCTGGGCAGAACACCCCAGCACACTTCCGGAAAGTGTTCACACAAATGCTATGTTGTGGCGGGGGAGGTTTCGTGCCTTTTGGTCCTGCACAACTTTCAGGCAAATTATGCCCGCACGACCACCAGCTGCGAGTGCATCGTTCTCACCTTTGCCCTTTGGACGCAGGAGGTAAACTTGCATTAGCCAACAGATCAGTTCAGGAGGTAATGATTCAGAAATAAAGCAGTATGACATCACAGGCTCACAGGCTAAATCCAGGCATAGGGTGGGCTCTGGGCCAATTTGGTGAAACGGGCGCGTCCTTGTGCGCGGCCGCATGTCACAAGATGAACCTGTCTCGGAATTCGGGAGGTCTGAGCTCCGGTCTCACCTCCTGTCCAATCGCATGTCTCGAGTCTCGGTTCCACGCAGCCAGACTGTGGGAAAGGTGGATGTACGGTTGGCCTTCGAGTCACGGCAGCAGGGAAGCATGACTTGGCGATCCGACGTCCGCGAGGAGCAACGGACCTCACCACAGAAAGAATGCGAAGCAGCTGACCGTAGCTGACCGGAGGCTCGCACCCAGCTCGCTGCGGGGAGTGTCACGACAGCATTCGGAGCGGTGCCGAGCCATCAAGGTCCAGAACAGCAATGGGCCCAAGGCTGCAATGCCTTTGTCAGAACATGCTCCCCCCAACTGCCAGAACGCTCCCATGCTTCCCGTTCGGAAGCAGCGACGAGCGCTAAGCCAAGCACCGACCCACAGCAGAGCTCCAAACCTGGGGCTGCTCTGCTCGACGGACATGGCTCCTGCGGCCTGTCGCTGTTCCGTTTCTCGCACGGTAAGGTAGTTTGATGCGAGCATTAAAGAAGTGTGCCTGCATTTTCAGCTGCAAGATGCTCCATTGGTCTGGCAGCCCTTGCACAGGAGGTCAGACATGTCACACTCCTACTGTTCTCGAAAGGCAAGAGACAAAAATACCAAATCATACGCAAGGACGATGGCCTACAACACCCTGACGCCCTGATGCAAAGACTGGGCTTGGTTTCCATCAGCAACATTTGAAGTTTCCGCTGCGAGGCGGTGCTTGTCGAAGAACTCATAGATGAGGCGATTCGCATCGATCCTTTCGGTCAGAGGTATGGCTATTCCGCTTCCTGCCATGCCCTGAAGATGGCAAGATCTACAGTCAAGGTCACTTGCCACCGGATGGGCCAAGGCAGATGAAGTCCGACCCACCGACGTCACGGCCCTCATCTGTAGAACGTCCCCTTTCTCGCTCTCACACGGATTCAGTCATGTGTCAGCAGCGTCGCAGAACGCATCGCTGTCGCAAAGGGGAGGGAAGGTAAGAACGAGAAAGCTAGGACCCCACACGGCGACTTGCCCGGAAAGTCGTGTCGGCGAAGCTTGAGGTTCGCATGGCTTGCCACAGCTTGCGTGATGCGTGCACAGCGGCTCGATCCTGGGGTCCCGTCTTGTCTCGGCGGGCATCGTCGAGGAGAGCACAGAACAGCTACAACCCGAAGCAATACTCAAACTACTCAAATCTACCGGGAAAGGTCACAAGGTGAAGGATCTCGACTTCACGAACAAGCAAACCCAGAAAGTTGTAGCCTTCCCGTCCAGCTTGGGCAAGAAAATTGCAAAGCTCTGCGGGGAGATTGAAGAGTCCCGCACTCGCCCCCCACCCATGTCCTTGCCACCTTGCCCAAGTTAGGGATCTCAAAGGCGGCGTTTGGCCTCACAAGGGCGCAGTCTGCATATGGCATGCAGCCTTCGTGAGTTTCTGCGTGAAGCTAGATTTCGACTCTCGCAACTCGCCCGATCTCGCAGGTGGCATGTACTGTAAGGATTCACAATACTGGGTTTTTGAGTTTAAACTTTACGAAGGAAGATCCCGAACACTGCAAAATCTCGCTTTGCACTGTCTGTCTCTATCCCGCTCTTCCTCTATCAACCTCTCGCTGTCTTCCTCGCTCCTCCACTCGCTGCTTGTAGATCTGAACGTGCACATGCATCCACCTGTTTTCACGCAATCCAAATTACGAACTCTTCGCCTGAAATGAAGGAGGCCGACATACTCAATCGTGCAAGCTGTACATTGATTCACATTGCAAACAGTCGCTGTGCATGCTTCGCCGAAGAATTCGTGAGCGCATCGGCTCAGGTGATGTTTGGCTTCTGTCTTAGCATTTCTGCAGCCAGGAAATCCGAGCCTATTGAAGCACCTCCCGTAACATGTTACTCTTGAATTTCTCAGCTGAGTTCTGAACTCATTGCTGAGTGGATATCACTCCTGAGAACAACCTGCCAGGGAAGCCTGGGTGTTCGAGTGTGTGTGTGTGTGTGTGTGTCTCTGCCTGTCTGCCTGTCTGACGTGGAAGTGTGCGCGTGAGTCTGTGCAAATGCCTGTCTGTCTACATGTGTGCCTGTGTGCACGTAAACATGAGTCCATGTGCCTAGAGCCCCTGTCCGTGTATGCATGCATCATGCACATCTGCCAATGTGTAAGCATGGCGCCTCAAACTATCACTGCAAGATCGTTTTGTAGGTCTATACGTGTGCGCATTCATGGTCTTCGTCTTTACATCTCGCTGTCTATCAGTCCGTGATGTTCTAACATGCAGAAATCACTACCCCAATCGCTACAAACCTCTGGTACTGTGAGCGGAGGCACCACTGGTGGCCGGCTCCATGCAGTCGGACAAGCTTGACAGTCGCATCGTCTTGGCAGCCCTCGTACCTTAGCTTCGTGCGCCGCGGGCATTCTGTGCCGTTCTGTGGGTGGTGTAGAGGTGACTCGGTCACTTCGACCGCATTGCCGCCACGCCGCGAAGCCACGGCGAAACCTCGCAAACATGAAGTCCATTTTCGGGTGCTGGGAGAAGATGCCAACGCTCCCCTACCAGCCTTGATGCTCTCTGAAGCTTGGAGGCCAGTCTGCAAGACCTGAGCGGAGAGCGGCTGAAGGAGGATGAATGAGGGGAGCCCTTTGGCTGAGCAGGTTACGTAGCGAAGCTGACAGCAGATCATCACCGCAACGCGCTCAAGATGTTGGCAGCTTTGCTGATGGGCGTTCTGCTGTTGCTCACGAAACATTTCGAAAGAGATGGAGCCTTTGAGAGTTGTGAACTGGCTCTTTCAGAAGCACATATGGCCTCCCAGCTGGACCTCTTTGTGCCTTGACTCGACATCTTCTGACAAGGTGCTGCAGCGATTGAACTTGGCCCATCTTTGCAGGGATGCAGGAACCGAGGAATGCCAGTAGCCCAGGCCATGCCCTGCGGAGGAGGCAAACAACTTTCGCACGAGCATCCTGTTCTTTCAACCAGAAACCAAGGTTGCAACACATTCCTCGTCTTCACGGATCGCTTCCAGGGGGGGGGGCACCTGTCTCCTCTCTCTGTAGCTCAACATTAACCCTGGCTGGCGAGTGCGAAAGGTGATACAGCGATACATATTTAGTCTTCAGGCCTAGGGCAAGCTGCACTCGGAGAGCGACGATGAGCGCACTGTCAGCTGTCGAACTGAAGCTCACAAGCACTTCAGCGGGCAGCAAGGAAAACGGCTGAAAGAAGCACTGAGTCCGAAGCGAAATTAAGAGAAGCCAAAGCCAAAGCCGAGAGAAGAGATAAGTGCAAGAAGTTCTCTTCCGCCTCCCCAGGGATTGACTGGATCGGCATCCCCATGAAAGGCCTGAGATTCTTCACACACAGGTGGACCAGCCAGACAGACCCGAGAGGAACACAGCCAGCCAGCCAGGCAGGCAGACAGACAAACAGTCAGACGGGGCGGCATACCGCAACCGATCACTCGGCCAATCCTTTGCGCGCTCGCAGTGGACACAAGCAGCCCAGCGTTCAGGCTCTCTATGGCAGATTCTGATAGCACCTCCACCGCCTTATCGCCTGGATCTGGCTGGGCTCAACGCAATGCACTTGGGGTTTCCAGTGCTGTACGACCATATCGGTTTCAGTGCACACCATCCAACTGCGTTCCGATATGCACACAAAGTCAATGAATCACAAGACCACTCGGCCAATCCGTTGTGCACTCGGCCGAGCAAAGAACCATCGTGAGTGACAGATCCGGCCGGTAGGGACGGTGTCATGTAACAACGACAGGCAGGGAGAGAGGGAAAGGGAGGAGACACGGACACATGGATGGATGGATGGATGGATGGATGGATGGAATTCAGGGAGGGAGGGATGGATGGATGGATGTTTGCGTGTGCGTATGCGGAGATACACAAACAAATACATAGGCAAGTTTGCTTAGCATTAGCGCTCCAGCAACTCAGGCGAGGTTTGAGATACATAGGCAGGTAGACAGATAAGCAAATGGGTAGATAGATAATTCAATATTTCAATGAATCGATAGAGCGATAGATCAATGGACCTGAAGATCTGTAGATCGATACATAGACAGATAGCTAAACAGATAGATAGACGGAAACAAAGGTAGATAGATAGAGAGGCCGAAAGACCGAAACACGGACAGACAGCCAGACAGACAGTTAGACAGAAAGAGTACATGGCGCATTAACTTATCATGTCGCTTGAACTTGCACGGCCTACTTAGCCTACTTTCAGGCTCAGCCGGGCAACTTGAGGATTCACATACCTTGGCGGCACCTTTTAGCCTAAAATTCTCGAAAGGTTTCCTCCAAGCGAGACGCTTCACACGACCCTCTAAGCCAATTCAAGCCATTCAACTTCCTCTCCGAATGCACGGCTGTACCAGATCGCATCCAGGCAACTAGAATGGGAATGGCTCTGCCTCGAAGGGGTCACAAGAGAGGCTAAGCCAGGGGGCACTTGGGGTCGCTGGGGAAACGACAAGCGGATCAGTTGCTGACAAGGCACTTGCGTTGTTCGGGCTGGGGTACCGGAGTCCTGGCAACCAGGTGAGCATCGACCGTTGTGTGATCATGCCGCCCTTCGCCAATTTCGGAAGACTTTGAGATCCTGATATGGGCGCAACTGATGCAATGAGACCCGGCCTCACACATGCAACCAGGACAAGAATGCAGAGAGATGAAGAAAGAGCAAAGCAGCAAAGTGCTAAGCCAAGTGCAGTTCCGATGCCAACCGTATGCCTCACGAAGTGTGGCGAAGCAAACCGCAGTCTCGACCCGCTGGATGCCTGACCCCTACCGTGAAAGCCCTTCTGATGAGGCCAGGAGACAGAAACGGGCTCCGTTGGAGTAGCCAGTACAGTGGATGCGCTGAACATCAATGCATGGCAGCCGCATGACCTTGCGCAACAAAGTCAGGCTAAGATAGGACAGGATAATCAGAAGGGCAAGACGAGACGGGTGGAATGAACAAGAAGATACCTGCCTCAAGAACCTTAACGCCCCGAAAGACACCAGAGCCCCAGACATGTTTGGGTCACTCCCAGTGAAGCTCCCCAAAACGTAGGCCTGGTGTGCCTGTCTCGGGTGACGGGCCTGTTCCAACACAGCTCGAGTCAACTCCACGTCGTGGACCCCCTGCCGTGAGTCATCATGCGTGCATGTTCCTGCTTCTGCTTGCTTGCTGCTGTCTTTTCGTACAAAGTGAAGGTCTCTCTCCGGTTCTTGCTGTCGCTCTATCTCGCTCAGCATGGGAGAGGGGACATTGGTGCCGGAACATCCGGATCATCGTTGGCGAAACGGATTGAAGTGATCCCCTTTCAATGCAAAGCCAACCTCCAAGCCTTTGTTTCGGGAGAGCACACTTCTGCAATCTTCCCCGTTGGCTCTCTGCCCTGCTCTTCTCCATTTTCTGGCTCCATCATGTATGTCTCGTCGTTGCCGGTGACATGTACAAGGATGCCAAGTCCACAGTCCCCGCGATCATACCGTCAAGCAGCGACTCACCACGGACAAAATCGAGAAGCCTGAAACAGCCTGAAACGAATTTGCGTGGCTCCATTTCGGCCGGGCACTCGGCCTGTTCGAACAACTTCAATCTCGTATTGTCCTTTTCTCGTCTTGCTTTCTTCGCATTATGATGACTCTACAGCAACTAGGGTCCTCGTGGCTCGGTCTTTAAGATTCTCTCCGGACAGGAACACCAACAACCCCAAAGGAATAAGCATCTATCGTCTATCGCTTCCAGGCCAGGCCGAAGAGGCTCCAGAGTCACCCTGGACCGCTGGCCTCTCGATCCTCCCGCTGACTGTGCAAACCCACCTGGACAAAGCTTGGCTTGTTGTCCTGGACCAGCAAAGCACCCATGCAGCCAAGCCACATTGAACTGCGACCTCAGGCATGAACTACAACGACATCCCAACCATAATGCACGGGCCGTTTCTGATGAGCTCTGTGCTGCCCATAGAAGTCGGAGTTCGGCAAGGCCTGTGCATGAAGGCGCCGTGTGGTCAGAATCCGTCGCGTAACCCCCAAACATGCGCAAATTAGTCGGTCTGAGGACGAGCCTGCGGAACCACAAGCGCAATATGATTTGCCCGGGAGAAGTCATCCAGGCCTGGAACACCGGTGAGGCAAATAACATCTCGCATCTCTCGCACACCGACAACAATTGGACATAATTCATTGGACCCTCCTGGGACCGGATGACTCCAATGAACAACGCACGACTCTATCAGTCCGCCCTCAACTTGGCTCAAACGCGGGCGCCGGCCTGAGTAACGCAGGAAATCCTTGGAGAAATCCGAGAGAGCAAGAGCGGGTCATCTCACGTCACGAAATCCGACCATAGCGCTTCGATGCGAGGCGGGGGGAATCTCTGCTTGCAGTCAAAGGCTCCGCAGCCTGGCCGTCGGTGCCATGAAAGACCAGCCACAGTGGGAGCTTCCCGGCAAACACGGCCGAAGGAAGGGATAAAAGCGCACCTGACACATGCTACATGGGATCTTATCATACCAGCTGGCGTCAAATCGGGTCAGAGTCAAGCCGCTTCGGGTGGTCCCACCAACCTCCACCTCCACCTTGGTTTCCTCAAGACCCATCTGGCAGTTCTCCTCACTGACCTGACGAAGGTGCGCTGCGGAGGCACTCAACAGCATGCGATGTGCCCTGCAATCCCGTGTCTCCAAAAGGCTGAGGGACCAAAAGGTTTGCGAATGAAGCCACCTGCGAGGCTGGCTTCGCCGAAGGCTTCACCTTGGCTGAGACAGGCGAAGCCTTTCTCTTGATGCAACAGCCTGCCGAGCGAATCACTGTTTTGGCCGTAGTTGCTCCGGATCCGATCGATGATGCCACTCTTGTCGTTGACAATGTCGTAGTTGAAAGCGTCGTAGTTGAAAGCGTCGTAGTTGAAAATGTAGTTGACAATGTCGTCGTAGATAAAGTTGTTGATACAGTCGTCGTCGATACCGTAGATGTGGTGGTTGCTGTCGTAGTGCTAAGTGTCATGGTTGTGGTTGTTCGCGAGCGGGTGTCTGACGTTGATGTTGTGGTCATTGAGCGGGTGTCTGACGTCGATGTTACGGTCACTGAGCCGGTGTCCGTTGTCGACGTTGCGGTCACTGAGTGGGTTTTCGATGTCGACGTGACGGTCACTGAACCGGTCTTTGATGTTGATGTGGCAGTCGTTGAGAAGGTGTGTGATGTCGACGTCGCGGTCATCTGTGCTGTCGCTATGACTATGAGGCAGCGATTCACACACCAAGCTTCTAGTCACCTCCCCGAGTGCTAGAACCGAAACAGGACACGGTTGCAATTGCGCAGCCCTCACACAGAAGGAAACCCTCTCTGGGAAGCGAAGCACTACGGCACTACGGCTGCTGCGAACGAGTCACGGTCGTGGTCAGCGTCGTCACCTAAAGCCACTCTGAACTCATCACGTGGTCTCCACAAGGTGTGCGTGCCCGGGCAGTGTGTCAAGGTTCAAGGTTGCTTCCTAAGCACTGTGGTCGTGGTAATGGTTGTGCTCGTCGCGGTACGTGTTGCGGTCACCTGAGCCGTCACTCCAATACAAGCCGTTATAACCGCAATAGGCGGGGAGTGATTTCTGCAGTCTCAGCACTGTAGTTCTGGTGGCCGTGGTCGTCTCTGTGACTGAAGAAACCTCAAGAAGTAATGATCAGAAGTTTAGGTGGGCAAGCTTCCCTGACATGTGCTTCAAATGTCTTTCTGCAGCTGTGCAGCTGTAACCGTGGTTGTCGTCACTGTCGTAGTCGTAACAGTTGTAACGGAAGTGGAGGTGATGGTTGTGATTGTAGTGCTTGTGAGCGTAGTCGGCGTCGTTGTCGGCGGCAAAGTCGAAGTGATGGTGATGGTCGTAACCGTGGTGTCAGGCATGTAGTGCAGAAAGGTTTCCTGTCGCTGTACACACAGTAGGGGCGTGAAAACTTAGAGAGTGATGACTTCTTGCAGTGGCACACCTCCTCAGTCGTCGTAGCTGGTGCCCATGTTGTGGCCGGTGCCTGTGTTGTGGCTGGTGCCCATGTTGTAGCTGGTGCCCAGGTTGCACGTGTGGTTTCCTGAAACAAGCAAGATATCCGGGCAGCAAAGGCTCCACAAACAGAACTGCATGTACCTTCTTCTAGGCTCACGTACTATGTGAGAATGGGCTGTCTTGGTCTTCCCAGTTCCGTTTAAAGAGCGGCGTAGATCCACGGATTGAACTACCAGTACTAGCAGCCAACACCCGCGGTGTGACATATCTTTACTGCTCAACGAGCCTCGCGTTCTCGGCTTTGCCATTGGACCTCACAAAAGCGGGTACGCTGAATTTCACAGAGCCCGATCTTCGATTACATCGAACTGCATCTCTTTCAAGCAGCAGTAGTCTCCACAGCGCTTGCTCCCGCATTGTGACAGCTGTCGTAGTCCGAACAGCCTCATGCTCATTGCAGAAGCCGGCGATGCTGCAACACTACTGAGACTAAAAGCTTTGGGCCGACTTGATGATTAAGCTTTGCGCAATCACCCATCTGCCGACACCAGCCTCAGCAAGGCGATTTCTTCGGAAGCGAAAGGCGAGATCTGTCGATTCTTGCGAAGCATGGACGCATGAACAGTTGCTGTGCAAGCTGCTGATGCATTGGCAGTTAGCACCAGGCCTCAATTCGGCTAAGGTATCTTCCCTATCTCTGTGGGCACATTTAAAGCCTGCGGCTTGCATTCGCCGCATGCCCACCCCAAAACGTGCATGCATGTCTTTCCACGAACGCTCAGAGCAAGTTCCGCACCCACGTGAATTCGCAACTCGTTCTGTGATTTAAGTGCACCAAGGGTCTGGAGCACGTCGCAGCGCCCTTCGCAGCTGTCCGAAAATCCAGCAGTCACACCGCGGAACACCTCAGAAACAGGATCATCAAGTTCGAGCAGGTGCTTCCAGTCAGCGCAGCTGGTTGAGAGGGTCGTGGGCTCACATGCAACAGCGGGCACATTCAGGCTCAGCAAGACCAGCAGCTCGCACCAGGGCCGGATGTCCACCTGGACACTAGGTTTGGGGCTTCGGGGTTTCAGGGTTTGCCATTTGCGGAGATGCGTAGGCCGACGAGCACCTTCACACCTAAATGTTTAGGATTTTGGAGACGTCGGGTTCTTGCTATCTGATCACGAAGGGGTTGATCTAAAGGCGTCTTTGATTCTCAACAGGCGCAGGTGTTTCATGGTACAGGTGGGGCTCCTTGCGGTCCTATGAGACTGTGAGACAGACTGCCGCTGGAAGCAAGGCCATGGCAGCCGAGCCGCTGCCCTCATGCACTCATGTGGCGGAAACGGTGGGCTGCTGGAGGCATTGCGCCGTTTGCCACCTCGGTTCCTGAGACAAGCGACTGTGCCACGAACACTTCTTGAAGAAGATCCCAACTGCTCAACATAATTGACAAGCTCTTAAGATTCTCATGATCGTGCGCATGATTCGAAGCCTAGGAGCTAGAAAGCGCCAAGCCCTGCGTTCTGCAGTCTGCGGCATGGAATCGGCGGCGGGGAGGCAAGCCGTTCGGTCAGGGCCAGAATTTCGCCGCAGCACGTACGCCAAAGATCTACGGACATGTGACATGTGTGGAATGCGCAGCGTGACCGCGTAAAGAACACCGCAGTGGCATCGAGATGCATCGATGCTTGGTTGCAGGTTCTCTTAGCCGGACTTGGGCTTCCGCTCGGCGATTCGATCGTCAAGGACCTGACTTCCAGTTCTGCGTATTTGGTTCCGCGCGGCCCCCGGGGCCATGTCTACAGTCCCATGACTTGCTGATGCTGGACCAAATGGAGCACACACTTGGCACATGACTTCAAGCCGCTCCTCACGCTGTGAACCTCCTACAAGCTCTCCAATTCCTCGAATCCAGGGATCAGGGAAGTGGGCGCTTGCGCCATGAAGATCCATGACTTGCAGTATCCTGGGCACAGAAGGTCCATGGCAGCCACCGTCTTGCCGTCCTCGTTGAGCCTCATGTAGAAAGCCTTGCAGTCCTCGGAAAGCAGAAGGGACGCAGACTCAGTCCGAGACGTGTGAGCTCGACTCTGGGCGCTCCTTGGGATAGTTGTAGACGATGCAGGGACCTTTGCACACCACATCGGTGAGGAACTTCCTCAGTGGCCGCGGCCAACGAGCGACATTTTGTTGTGCCGTCTTAGACATTCTTAGGCGACACGCGTCAAGTTCATTTCTAGGCTTGGAGCTCGTGTTCTGTTTGAAGCTCCTTGCCCCATTCGACTTCAAACTCGAACTTCACGTCCCCGGCTTTGATGTGCTTCTGCAGGACCTGCGCCGCGCCGCGCTTCGCAACTTCTAGGAATCTCCACAAAGCCTGGCAAACCTCACCGGCACGGCCGTGAAATACGTTGAAGTACTGAAGCCCCAACGCCAGAGTCCCGCAGCAGACACCCGCATGAAGGCACAGACGACCATGAAGACGGACAGACAGAAAGGCAACGATCGGATGGCACGGCACACATTCAGACAGCTATTAGACAGAGACTGGCCGACTGCCTCCACTGCCTCCGTGTAGCTCATGCGGGCGAAGGGCTTGGAAGCAATCAGCTCCAGCCTCTCCTGGCGACTAAGTATGTTTGTCAGTCTGCACTACCTGTCAACATGCACTACAGTCTCCAGCGACCACCTTGAAACTACGGCGAGGAGGTTGCATGTCAGGTGGAGACTGACTACCATGTTTCCCTCCCATGAGAGAAGGTGAAGTACCGTGTTCTGCACCCCTGCCTGGATCTCCTTGTCCTTAATAAACGCAACACGCAAAGGAAGTTCAAGAGGCCATTGCAAGAGCCTGAAAATGAGGCACAGCACGTATCTCTGTCCAGCCGAGAGTCTACCCGCAGGTTGAAAAAGTTGACATCAGACTTGCAGGACTCCAGGACATTGGACACACAGAACCTTGTGAAGAGAAGCTGCAAAGGATGTATCGAGAGGAGCGCAAAAGGGCCTGATGAAAGCTTCCGCGCAGTCCATGTCGTCCTCCAAGTTGGCGAAGGCAATCTCTGGCTCGATCCTCAGGCTCTGGTAACAGATGCCGTTTGGATTTGGCAGGGCTAAAAGTGAGCGCATGGCATCCAGAACTCGGCCAGATGCCTAGTAGTGCCTCCAGTGTGCATTTCTTGACGCTCACACTTGGATACCAGTGCACATTGCTGTGGCGTGGCTTGAGCATCATGGTGCGCCCACGTCTGAGGATAATGCTGGAATTCTCAGCACGGAAAGTAGGGCCAAAGGTGTAAACCTTGAGGCTTTGGAAATCATGACTTTTGTCCACATTGCTTACTGGCCGTTGCAGTTTCAGGCAGCTGCATCACCCAGCCCGCAGCAGAAGTTTTCCACTGCCAACTGCCCGCTGACCTTAGCCGCTCTATGCGGCTATGCACTGCCGGCAGCAGGCTGCCCAAGCCCTCCACCGTAAGATATGCCGCTCGACCAAAGAACTCCTCGCTGTCCGTTGCGGCCTTGCTTTCGATCGCCTCCTCTCCCTGGGCTGATACACTCTGCCACTGGCCGTGACAATTGGTCACTTCTGGCAAAATGCCGCCTTCTCAGCACTGATGCGGAACATCTCACCAGCTCCCTCGCAATCTGCCGTGGTGATAATGGGGGTGTGCCTGACGTCCCCGTGCACATCCGAAATGAAGTAGAGCTTGAGCGTTCAAGGCCGTGACACATACAAGAACCCTCGGTCTTGGAAGAAGCGGTGGGTACCTGCGCAACTAGCAACGACCGTGTCTGCCGGAGATGCGAAGCTAGTCCAGACTGTACCGTGGTCAGGGATAGGGTCACTCATTGCTAAGTTGTTCCGAACGCGGCTGACTGCACCAATGAGGTTTGACCTGCCATCAAAGATGCTTCGACAGCGAAGGTGGCTCGCTTCCGATTTGCGCACCCAGACAAGGATTTGCACGATTGTGCAAGGGGCCTACACACCTGAACGGCTACCTTGCTGAGGTGACCTTTTCTGTGCAAGGCGCGCTGCTTTGCCGCGTCTTGCTCCAGTCATGACCGCGACCGTTGCCACAACTTAGGTGCCCGACAGAGGAAGCCGTGCTCCTGCTGTGGTCTTGCCCGTCTTGCAACCAGGGTGCGCTGGAGAACATGTCCTCGTTCGCGTGCTGCGGTGGTCTCTCGTGCTGATGCACGGTTCCGTCAGAGGTTGGCTGCCTCAAAGACTAGCGGCTGCGGGAACTCCGCTCATTGCAGGTGCATGGGCATCAAATGCTTCGGCCGAAGCGCGCAACACTCGCCACTTCGACTATGTAAATCATCACCTCCTCCACACCAGCACGGTTCATGCCTCAGCGGGGCTAGCTGATAGGCGAAGGACGGGAGCAAGGACGAATGGGATGACCTTGATCCTGCCAGTAAGAATCCAAGTAAGAACACGAAATTCCGATGGAGCTGAAGTGACTGGGCGGGATGATGAGCTCCCGTCGCCCTCCTGGAGGAGAAGTTGTCCGACACTTTATGCAGACTGTCTCGGAACGGGCACGAGTATGCCATCCTGAGCGCATGCCCAGCACCCCTTCGCCGAGTGCAGGAAATTCGGGTGAGTTCCCGGCCTGCGTCCGGGCAATGACACCGATGGAAGGCGCGTTTATGTCAGAAGGACACATGGCGCAAGGCATGCCTCAATGCACAGTGGACTCGGCCCGGCATTGTAGGAGGACTCAATCACCTTTCCGTTGAGCCACTTTCCTCAATCACACACTCTCAACATGTCGGCCGCAGAACTTCAAGGGAAGAAACTCCGGTGCGAAAACAAGTCGCCTTCAAAGTGGATGCAAACGAGCCAGCCCTTCCTTAGAGAACGGCTGCTCCGGGCAGAGGAAGGGTTCTCCTGTGGGCTGCCCTGGGCTTCCGGCTCGGCGACCTCCTCCCCGGACCCGATCTTCAGGTCGCAGCATCTCATGCCACCCGGCGCCTCGAGCTGGGCACAGCGCAGCGTCAAGCGAGCGCTTTCGCTTTCTTGCAAGAACGCGCCTGGAAGTAATTCGTCGATGCCGCCCGCTTCGATTCCAGGTATTTCTCCTGAGCTCCACTCACTCGCACGCTAGCTTATCTTAGCAGCGAACCTTGGCATCGAAGGTTCAAGAACCCCTGTATTGAACAACCATGAAGACTCGAGCTTTCGTGCCAAATGCCAGCCCGCCGCAATGCAGGTAGCTACGTGTAAGTACGTAAAGCTTTTCGACCGATGGCCCGGTGGCTGTGCCGGAATTCCATTGACATTGAAGTCGTGTCTTGTTTCGCTCACCGCTCTGACCCTTGTGTCGCAACAAGTCGAATTTCGTGCATACGTCTGCCTCCAGTGTGCCAACAGTACCCAGCTTGGATTCGTGTCTACGTCCAGAACACTTGTCGTGTTTGCTCCTGGGAAACCAAGAGCCGAGAAAAAGCATTGCCAATCGACTTGGTCAGTTCAGTGATGAGTAGTAACGGACAGCGTTCAAAAAAAAACTGTCAAATAACATCAAAAGAAGGGCACCTCGGACCCCCATGGCCTGATGTAGCAGTTCACGCGCAAGGCAACACCCGAAACACGGAACCGGATAGGCAAAGCAGTGCACCTGTCTGTCGAAGAGGTTTCTGCGTCATGCCCCACACCCCGTGCATACCATGCCGTCCAGCGAAATCTTGTAACGTCGAACCAGCAGCGGTAGGCAAGGTTGAACACAACACTGCGCCGTTCGATTGAAGGCGCCTGTGATACTGCCGGCAAACTCCATCCAGATCCATTTGCAGCTGAATCAAGACTCATTCCTCTTCGTCTCGTGGGCCCTATCTTCTGGCCTTTTGGGAGCTTGCCTTGGCTGAGGCTCTTCAGTATTTCGCTCCTTTCTTGATGCCTTGGTCTACCCCTGAGGAACGACGTCCATGTTCGAACTCTCGCAACTCGGACAATGCAGGCGAGGTTGGTCCGGTTGGAAGGGCACCTCATTGGCTAGCAGACGACGTCCACATTTAGGGCCCTTCTTACATGCTGCATTACCCGAAGCTTTCGCCACTGACTAAATAACAATGATCAGTGGATGTGTCTAGGCGACCAACAGCCTGCCAAGTGTCCTTTGACACCAGCTCAAAACGCTTGTCGCTCGCTTCACACCTGGCATACCTGGCGGTCCCAGAAACCCAATGACGGCGCAGATGGTCCGCCTGAGATGTGCCGCACAGCATGTCCAAAAGTACTTGGGACCTCCAGGGATCGATGAATTCCCTATAGATGCGTCACACGCGGCCAGGGCGCCAAAAGGACCCCTGTTGCTAGGCCGCTAGCGCTGAAGGCAGCCCGCCGGGCCATGGCCATGGCCCCCAGCGAAGAAGCGCGCTTTCAGAGCCCAGGGCGGTTCTGGCCAGGGCTTGGAGCCCACGGGGAGCTCTGAGCTTCTTGGGGAGGCGAGGCTCGCCTAGAGCCAGGGGCCAACAGCTGACTCAGGTTGTCACCGAGGGCAGGGTAGTTGCGTCGATTCGTGCCGTGGCGAGATGGTGGCGAGATGGGGTTCTGCCATAACGTGGGCTTTTGTGCAGAGACCTTCATGCTCCCACGGTGCGTGCACAATGGGACTCGCAAGGCCAGAGAGCAAGGAGGGCCGGGTGTCAAAAGATGACAAGAAGTGCAGCACAGAGGGCCTAGGCCGCAGGTGGGCAATTTCTCGGAGAAACTCAATGCTGTGCTTCCTGGCCAGAACAGCGCGAAGTCACGAAGGGCTCTGGCTCTGACCGCATTGAGGCAGTGGCTTTTTTGCCAGCGGATAGGCCTGGAAGCTGAAGGACGTTTGGGAAGCCGAGTTTGGGGCCCAGCCCCGCCTTGGAGTCCACGGCTCCGAGAACTTCGATCTGGGGGCACAGGCACGGATGTCTCGCACAAGCTGAAGCAAAAGACCTCCGGTCTGAGTTCCTGACACTGTGCTCCGCCTTAGAGAGCACACGGCTTGCACGGCCACAGAAAGGCGACGCCGCATTGTATCAAGCGCCTAGCTGTGCTGCAGGAGATTTCGACCTCCTGGCCTTTGGCAGGAGACTCGACGACCTCGTCCAGAAGTCGAGCCCGAAGCGACGAAGCTTTCGAAGCGAGGATTGTCCGCCTCGCCCTCCACTCGCACGGAGGCGCCAGTGCCCTGGCTGCAAACCTGGCCGGATACTCCACACAGGTTCTGAGAAAATGCATTCATTATTCGATTGCATCGCAGACACAACAAACAGTACAACATGTGACAAGATTGTTTTACGGACTCGGTCAGGAGGTTGCAGGATCGACCTGCCTCCTCGAAGCCCTTGGCCTCTGCAAGGGCCTCAACGTGCTTCAGCAAGGCAAGGGCAGGGCATTTCACTGATGTTGTTTGTCGAGGCAGAAACCAAAAGGCGGCTCGTGCTCGTGTTGACTTTTGCTTTCGCTCATAAGTTTCTTGATCCGACGTTGTGAAACTTCGCCTCGTAAGGTAGCACCAGGACTGGTTGGAAAATGAGGGCCATGGTGATCCCGTGAAGCTGAAGAACTTGGCCACAGGGTCAGAAACGATGGTATGCGTGCAGGTTCATCTCTGGCGAATGGGGACGTGCTGCATGAACAAGGCCTGGAACACGGCCCCCAAGCAGAAAGCAGCCTGACCTCAGAGCCGTGCTACTGGTATCGATACGGTATCAATGAGTACAGATCCTGCTTCCCTCAGTCGCCAATAAGCCTCCAACGCAACGGTGCAAAACGGCACTGTCATTGGAGGCAGCTTAGCACTTCCGAGTACTTCCTTGAAGCCAATCGTGGCCAGGGTGGATGCCATTGCACCTCAAAGGCACGCGCGCACACAAGCGCAAGCTCATGCTGCACGCTGTGTCCGAACTTGATCTGATGACACCTGTAGAATGTTTGGCCTGGAAGACTGGCCTGCATGCTAGCTTGAGTCCTTCCCCACCCATGCCTCCGCAGGCAAGCATGCCAAAGGAGACACCTAGCGGCACGAAAAAAATCCTTGGATCCGACAGAAACAGACAAGCAGACAAATGCTCAGATCTGACTGCAGAACCCACACGGGCATGCCTAAAAACTGAACACTTCTCGGGGCGATGGCCTGCAAATGCTCTCACCGACCGATCGGCATTGCACAATAGCAAGTAAATCACGTGAGCTGCTGAACCATATTGAAAGCCTGTCTTTCAGGGCAGCCCTGTAGCAGACGTGCCCGGACCCCAGAAGTCGCAGAACAAAAGCCGCGGCTCGACACCGCCAGGGCGGCCAAAGCCGAGTTGTAGCCCCAGAGCCCGTCCATCACCTTCGCAGCCCGCTCTCCAAAAACGTCCTAAAAACGCACACACAGAAAGAAAGAGAGCCAGAGCGAGAGCCAGAGCCAGAGCGAGAGCGAGAGAGAGAGAAAGAGAGAGAGAGAAAGAGAGAGCGGGAGAGATTGATTGACACCAGGCAGGCGGCGAGGGGCGAGGCAGGGACGGAGTGGCCGTGACTTGCTCTTGCTGCGAGTGAGACGCAGAGGGAGAGGAGAGAAGTAAAACGATGGAGCGAGAGAGGAGAGACAAATAGAGAGAGATAGAGAGACCGTCATCAATGCACAAGCAGTGACGGGCCAGGGCACCTCATCGACATCCTGCCGCAAAAGCACTGCCGTGAGGCTGCCCACGAAAGATCCGGCGAAAGTCACTGCAGCAGCTGCCGGGCTATAACAGAAAATCCTTGGAGTCCATGCAGGCACGAAGCTTTGCACGGGGCCTGGGTTGCAGTCGAGCAGCCCTGCAAGCAGCATCAGTCCTGCTGACAGAGTCCAAGCACGACAAGGGCTCAAAGCGCTCAAAGCGAAAGCGATCCGCGATCAGCGCCTGTGCCGGCATGATTGACGACAAAGATCTGCGACACTCCGTGGAGAGAGGCCTCGATCATATCCGGAATGGCTCCTGCCCGAAAGGCCGGGCGGCGGCTGGCGTAGGCTACCAGTAGCGGCAGATCCCAGAATCGGTCGTGTCGAGTCCTGAACGCCACAGGAATCCCAGAACAGATCCACCTGAGTCGCAACGATCCGGCAGTGCGTTCACGGAGCTCTGGAGGACCGGTCGCGTGCCGAGGCGCCCTGCTGGCTCTGCTCCGAATCGGAGGGTTTCTGCTTCTTCTGCGGCGGAGGCAGCGCCAAGGTAAAGCCGGCAAGGATCTGAGCTGCTCTCCGAGTGGAGGCAACCGATTCGGTCACGAAAGCACTGGCGCAAAGTGCAAACGCCCCTCTGTGAATGTGGTCAGGCCCATCCAAAACAGGCAAACACAGAAACAAGATGAAACAAGAGCCGTTCACACTTCAGAAACAAACGCATATGGCATTCCACAGCAGTCCCTCCGCTAGCTGCCGGGTTGGCCCAGGTCTGTGGAACACCGAGCACCCAGCCGCCAAGACGACTGCATTGAAGGCAATGGTGTACTGGGGTACCGGGAGCAGAGGGCCAAGCTTCCTCGGCTAGCGCTTCAAGCGTTTACACGACGGTGTAACTTAACAAACACGGTTTGCCAACCCTGCGAATCGATGCCGTGAAGTGAGCAACCCTTCTTGTTATCCGAACTCCACCGAAACTCTTGCCGTGTCGACATTTTCAGGCAGATGTTGTACCGCGATTTTGCCTGTCGTTGCAGTTCGTCCGAGCAGCGCTGCGAGCGGCACCGTTGCTGCAGCCCCTGTGGCGGTGAGCGCCGCCATCGCCAGGGAGGTGGCGAGCTGAGGCGTGCACCTCCAGGAGACAGGCGTTGGGGACTCGGGACTGCCGGCAGCCGACGCAGAATTCTTGGGAGCTTCCAGCTTCATGAGGGCTGCTTCTTTTTGACACTCCGGCACCCGATGCTTGCGGCCAGCGCAGTCCACAGAGGAACACCGGGCTGGAAGACAGACAGCGCGCACCCGACCAGTGCGCCATTGTATCCTGAGCAGTCAACGCATACTCCCGCAGCCATGGGGCCCCCCGTCAATGCGGCCCAAGGATCCCATCAGGCCATCAGAAATAGCCTCAGCACACTTTACGCCGAACTCCGCTGAACGCAACCAAGCACTTCACCAAGCTAACATCGTGATTTAGTTGTCTCGTGCGAAAAACTGCTAGATGATCAGAGTCATATCAACAAGAAGGGAAAGGAAAGCTTCGAGCGAGTCAGCGTATTGCGCTCGTTTCCCGACGGAGTCCCGCAGGGCTCTCTGGAGCCCAGGCTTCCCCCCTCATCCCGCCGCTCCACGGTTAGATTCGGTCGGTGCTCAAAAAATGCAAAAGGCGGTCCGGCATTGACCCAAACCGTCACATCTGGAAGCGAATGAAACATAAGGACGGTTTGCACCACTCGAAGCGAGAACGTCGACGCAGTCGAGATGGGAAGCCGAACGGTGCCTGATGGGAACAAAATCCGACTGATCAGACATCTGCTTTAGCACAAGCCATCGTAAAGTAAAGGTCTCTAGGTCCGAGAATAACCTCGTCTTTCATAGGCTCTGCTCAAAGCAACTCGCGTTTAACATCCCTTCACCAAGGCCACTTTAGCAAGCAGCAAGAGGGCCCATGAAGGCCCTCGGACCCGCCAAAGGAAACCGATGGAAGAGGCTTCAGGGTGTCCGGCAAGAGCCAGCAACGAGACAGCCGAAGTGACGGTGGCGAGCTGGCGCGGCGAGCTGGCGTGGCGCTCGCCGCCGTGAGTCGGAGGAAGGCTGTGCCATGTCAAACTATGTCAAACTTCATGATACACTGAACAGCGATTCCTCGTTACAACCGAGCGCAACCGAGTTGGCGACCTGCGGGTCCAGTGAGGCGGCACGCGCTGTGAGGGTGGCAGAGGTGACTCCCGCGAGTGCCAGGACGCCCAACCTCAAAAGCGGTCGGACGTGCGCACGTGCGCCACGCGGCCAAAGGGCTGCTCGTGGCTTCAGCCAGGGAGCTGCGCATCACCGATCAGCAAAGCACCGACCTAAAGGGCGTTGAGGCCTCTCTCTTCTCCCGCTCTACAAGTAGCCGTGCCGTGCTTCCGAGCCGCGAGGAAGCCGCCGGAGAGCGCGCTGTTGCCTCGGCCATGAAACTCAGCTAGACATTCCTGGAAGCGGCGCATTGCTTGCCACGACAAAGCATCGGCACTTTGCGTGACCTCTTCAGTGCCAGGTGGCAGAAGACCACCTGACCCATGCCTCTGAGAACTTCCATGAAGAACCTCACAGAGCTTCTGCATTGCAGCATACATCATCGTCACTCGCCAAGCAGCGGGTGTACAGGAGGAGGCCCTGGTTGCCCGGAGCTTGGTCTTGTGTCTTCTGGCATTTCGGGCCCGGCGGGCCCGGCGGGTGTTGCGCTGAAAGCCCTCCGAGCAGCCATGGTGGAGGGCCATGCCTGCAGCTCTCTAATTCTGCACGGCCCACAGCAAAGCGAAGAGTTCTATGCTTTGGGAAGTGCTCCCTTGCCTCTTTGGGCGTGATTCGGAAAGCTTCCTTACGACATCTGCCCTCCGTCAACGTACCCGGCAGTCTCCTGAACATTGCGTGGGGGCAACATGACCTGCGGGCTCAAGCGCGACTAGAGCTGATCAGCTCCTGACGGGCTGGCAGCGATGGACCCACTGTGCCTTAAGGGTGTCGTGCAAAAAGATAGGCACGACATGAAGCACACCCGTTGCCAAGGAGCACATCGCGACGCCCACGCCATTTCAGGCAAGGAAGCTGCCACGCGGATTTTGCACAATACGACGCTGATTGGTGAGGATGAAGTAGAAAGTCGTGTCATGAGCTTGTCGAGACGAGTTGTTCGTAGTTGCTCCAACATGTGAGTCACGAGTCAAGGGCTCAGCCCGACAATACAAGTGCTGACTGGTTCGGACGGCCACATCCACCAGCTGAAACAAAAAAGAGCAAACAAGCTTGGTCTTGGGACAGCACGACGATCTGCAGCTCCTGTCTCGTCAAAGGGACATCGCGGCAATGCTGCCATGTTCGATGTCAGCGAAAGCCGAAGCAACAGGCGGTGCTACTCAAAATCCTGGACTGTCGATCCATCGTTCACCTGCGCAAGCGGGGCAGTGTCTGCTGGTATCCCATAACTGCCTAGCGACTGGCCCACTTCCACGCGACGCAGCTGGGCCTTTAGGAATGCCAGCTTCTTCTGAGCTCGGACAGTACGCACCTGGGAGCTGGCCGACGGGCTCACAGCCGGGCAACACGCAGCTCAATGCGACTGAACGCAACTGAACGCTTGGAGGGTCGCCCAGCCACAAACCACCACCTGCAGGCAGAACGGCCCGGGCGGCCCGGCAGCTCTGACGAGGTTCACACTTCCGATCTACACCACTCGAGTTGGCAAAGGCCGAGGGTGGAAGATCCACAAATCTAGGGTTCTGTATGGTTCTGTATGCTCCTCAAAGCTCTGGACCCTTTCTTGCCTTCTGCCCGATCAAGGAGCGCCCGCCGTCCGGTGCCTCACATTTCCCCTAGGCCCCCCAACTGACCCCCCATCTCGACTCGCAAGGCCGAGCCTCGAGAATCTGTCTCACGCGCAGCCGGCCCCCGACTGCTGAATTGAACCTGGGCTTTCAGACGGAGCCACGAAAGGCCTCGGTCTCGGCGACGGGTGCCGACCCCGTGGCGACTTCAGTCTTCTCCGCCTTCCACTCCGAGTCAGTGCAAAGCATCCAGCGACGGCGGCAGAGTCCAGCAGCGGCCTCTTCGCCACCTCGAGCCCTCAGGACCAAGGATGAGCTGCAGCGGCTCTGCAGACTCCGTCTCTGCCTCTGCCTCGCCACAAAAAATTTCACCATAAGGATCTTTCGGAACAACCCCAGGCCAGGCTTTTAAGACCTTCTCAGATGCTAGCCTCCTTGCGCTCGACGAGGATACACCGAGCACGACAAGGCATCCGACAGGTCCGACAGCTTGATCACAAGACAGCCGACCTGGCTCGAGAGATGCAACATCCAGAATTAAGCGGCGCCTGGCACCAATGTCACGACGAGCTACCTATTGGTCGTCTGACAGACAGAGCCGGCACCTGCAAGTGCACACGGGAAAGTCCTAAACTTCCAAAGAACGCCGTGCGTTCGCCGGGCCCCCAGCTACGGCACGGTGTGTCAAGGCTGTTGCAGCATGTGCTGCAGGTCGAGTGGCGGATGCCGCCAACATCACGCCTCAGCTGCTTGACCTTACGATGCTCATGTGCCGGACATCGAAAGACGTGCTGGGAACCCGGCGTAGGAGATGTCCCTACGCCAACCAGCAGAGCCAAAGGCTGCAAATGCAAACAGTCCAAAAAAGTCTAATCCAAGACTGTCTCCCGCACATGTGCCAGAGAACTTGACGTTGATCCCTTTTTCCACGCGCCCGGTGGAGGCTTTCAAGATGGCAATTAGGACTTGAGGAGTTTACGACAGCTCAACAACGCTTAAACGAAAACGTCCTGTTTGACAGCCGTCAATAACGATAGGTCCAGCACTCACATACTCGGGCCCGACCCTTGTCATGCTTACGGCCTACTACACCGTTGTCTAAGCGCATGGAACTTGGCAAGGCGCATGCAATAATTCGTCCGATTCGTGCGAGGGCACCAATATGTATGTACGGCTTCGGTTCGTGTCTTCTACAAACCAGGGACAAAAGGCAGTGTTTTTACATTGAAGATTTTCCAACAAGAACCTAATTTGACAGCCCATGTCTCAGGACTACTTGACTGTAGCTCCTCCCATACTGATCCTTCATGCCATGCATCGACACAAAGCCAGAAAGGTCGAGTCGGTTCCAATGTACACTACACGAATCTCATATCGTAGATCCTCCTATACCAGCCAGGGACTCCTCTTAAACTCCTCAGCCCAAAAACTCCCATCGCGTGCTCTCTCTCGGATGTTCTAAGAGCTCACAGGAAACCCAGGTGCTTTGTCCATGTTCTTCGGGTCCTCTGAGTAGCCAAACAAAACAAAGTCGGGCCGATAGCGGTCCATCCTTAATCACACAGAGAGCGGCAGACGTTGGGTTGAAACCCATGTGGTTCAGCAGGTTTAATCTACCGATTCCTGGCCAGCTGCAAGTGCTTCTGGTATTGCTGCAGCACCCGGACTTGCACGTCGGGAGGCAGCGCCTGGCGCTGCCTCTCGCGCGCCTTCCTCACAAGGCTTCGATCCTAGTCCTAGATGATCCGAGAGCCTTCTGTGCAAGTTGGAGATGCAGCAGTGTAGGTCTGAGGTCTCTCCTGCCCGTCGACGTTGTTCCTGCACGGAGACGATCCCACCTAGAGTTCCACATTCTCAGAGGCGGCAGCGGCCTGGAGCCAACAGCTTTTTCAGACAGCAGGGCTGAACATGGACGCAGATGCTCTGCAAATGCCTGCAGAAGTTGAACTCCTGGCACAGTCTTCGCTTCATTTCCCCCATGTCGTCTTCCATGTTCTCCAGGTGAACCTTCAAATCCACACAAAGTGAAAGCAGAAGCGCTGCCTTCGAACTTCGGTCCCCGACCAAAAAGAAGTTTCTGGGAGCCAAACGACATGGAATTGGTGGAGGTCGACAGTCCCTCGGAGCGGTCAGGAAGCCATGCATCATACAGTGAAGTGAAGACGAGCGCAATTTCCTGAAGTGGTTCGAAGCAGCTACACCATTTCGAAACGGCAGAGCCGAAGTTCACAGCAAGCATACAAGACAGATTAGAACACAAGAACAACTTCTCCCGTTGCTGGCGCGGTTTGCGACCAGCTGCTCTCGTCGGGACTCAGCGCACCACAAAAAAAGTGCAAACAGAATGCATAAACCGGGACCTGCAGAGCCTGGCTCTAGCTCTCCTGGAAACAGAGACAAGAAGTCAGGTCTCAAGTCTATAAAGGAAACATCATCAAGCCAAGTCTCTGTTTAACTCCTCGTACAAGGTGCCGGCATGGATTCCGAGGCCGTACAGCATTGACCGCATGATCCGCACTGTCGCCCAAGATCCGCCTCAAGGCACCAGTACGCAAGCAGATAGCTGCGGCTAGTTCACCACGAAGCCGTCTACGGGCTTATCTGCCTGGCATCAGGAAGTTGACTCCGAGTCTGTCATTCACGCCCCCGGCCAAGCCGTAAGGGAAAAGCGCCGATGCCATGAAACAGAGAAAGTACGCAAAGTCGGTCCTGCAATTGCTTTGAGCAGCTTCACAATCCGACGCTTCCACGACCACGATGCCACGATGACAAACACGAAATTACCCAGCTCAGCCAAGTTGCTCAACGCTAGAGTTCGTGCCTCTGAAACCGTTGGTCACCATGTCCCCAGCAAGTCGTGAGCGATCCTGTTTGTTCGCGAGCTACGCATGTGGTCGGCAGGCTAGCTATCGTCAAGGACATCCCTGCGGTGTTCGCGGGCCCAGCTAAGGCTTTGCTTTCGAGCTTTGGAGTGTTTTGAAAGGCAGTACCCTGCCAAGGAAGGGAACTCTTTCCATGCCAAACAAACGAACCAGTCATGTGCACATTACCAGCAACGCTGGTAAACCTACAGCCTGGCCAGGGCTCCAAGAAAATGGAAAGATAGGCAGACGCCAAGCGCTTGTAGGGATTCCGGACGAAGATGACCTTGAGCCGCCCGATGCCAAGCCGGCAACAGGTCCTTGGCTGCCAGAGAAGAAAATTGCGACGGGAAGGAGATATACAATATGAAACATATCACATATAATACAATATATACTGGCTGATAGATACTACTATACTATACTATACTATACTATACTATACTATACTATACTATATATATATATATATATACATATATATATATATGCATTTGCCTATTTCTATTTATTTATTTATATTTATTTTTATTTTTATTTATTTATATTTATGTATATTTATTTATATTTCTTTGTTTATTTATATTTCTTTATTTATATTTATATTCCTCACGGAAAGGAAACGCCGCGGAGTGACAGGCAACTCGAGGCAGAGGCTGCCAGGATCACGCCGGAGGATTCTTGGCCGAAGCGGGATCTCAGGGCCATGTCCTTCGCGTCCGTGTCCTGCTCCCTTGCCGACCCCGTTCTTCGGTTGCTGACCCAACGAGAAGCCCAGTCGAAATAAAGCTCATTGTCGGCCTCAAAGGGTCTCCATGTGGAAGCCATCAAAGAAAGGTCGCGTGCTTTGGGCGCGTCGATTTGCAAAATCCACCGCGCCACGGAAAGAGAGCCGGACTTGGAAACCGGTCGAACAGCCAAAGGTGCATTCAAGGGACAGTGCAGCAAGCGAGCTTTTCTCCTGCAAACAGCATCAAGGTTGCAACCGTCTCCCCCACCCGAAACCACGGAACATCACGGCACCATGTTTATTTGATGGATTTTGATGGTTGTTCACCCGGGCCTGGAGTCCCACTCTTCCCCGTGGCAGTTGTCATGCACGAGCTGAAAAGGCTCCCTCGTTATCTTTGCCTTGCGGGCGGCAGCTGTCGATATTCGGCAGTTACCAGTGCCCCGTGAATAGGTGTCCTCAGCTTCAACACCCTCCACTTGTGCGGCCGAACGTCAATGGAACCTTTGAAGGGGTGAGATGTTGATACCAGGAATCGCAGCCACCCCATCCGGGAGCACATACTCGCAGAGGGCGGGGCAGAAGCTGCGGTACCTATGGTGCCCGCACTAGACGACGAGACAGCGGCTCAGCGGCTCTTGGGATCTCTCCCGTTCAGGCGAGACACCGCCAAAGAGCGCTCGGCAGCAAGAACTTCATGCGGAGGCCAGCTCAGGCGCTGCGATCTCCAAGGCATGACCTGGAGAACAAGAACCGAAGAACCTAAAGTCCTACAGAGCTCTGACTTCTGCCTACATAAGCGCAACAAGCTCCAAAGGACACCGTCGCATGCCATCAACAAACGAAAATCAAAACGCTAACATCCGCTGGTCACGGCACCATGGCCTCTCTAAGCCGCTACAGTATCCGATATGGGCCTCAACAAACAAGTCAACCAAGCCTCCCAATGGAAAGCTGCCACACGCGGGAAGGAATCCAGCAACCGCGCGAATGCAGAGATGACGGGATCGACGTAATACAAGCTCCGAGATCTGTTCTCTTTGCAATGGGACCTGGCACGTGAGGCACAGCGACCCATCTCGACGTCAGCTCCGCACATTGGCACCTGACATCCCAGCACGATGGGGCCAACCTCAGAAAGGGCTAAGGCTAAGGCTCTTCTGGGCCCCTTTTCCTCGTGCGCTGCTAAGCCACGGACTGCCGAGCGCCAGCGAGAAGCAACTCCTCCCCTCCCTTCCGCAGCACAGCCATCTCCAAGAGATCCAGCCAGAGACCGAAGTGCGTCACCGGGAGGAAGGTGTGGAGATTTCCCACGCTCATGGCAAGGAGGCGGAGCTCGGCGAGTTCAGACATCAGCGATGCCAAGACGTGAGTTCTGTGCGTTGTTGAACCCTGGCGCAGGGTTTCTGGCTGTGGCAGCAAAGTTGCGAACCGGCCTGCAGGTTCAGGAGCCGAATCGCTGCCGATTGTCACCGTTACATGGCAGTTCCGGCAGAGGCAAAGCGCGGAGGGACTCGATCTTATACTCTACTTTTCGACCGCTCAGGGCGTTCAGGTAGCTCCGCTACGACACAGACTCCAGAGGAAAATCGTCCTTGCTCTTAGAAATCTTGAACGTGTCCAGCGGCATGTTGGCAATGGGCGAATACCTGCTGCCGAGAAATTACGCCGTGTGGGACCCCGGGTTGCAATCGAGTGGCTTGTCTTGCTCAGCGTTCTTGAACCACTTGATAGTCTGCAGGTGGTAGCCTTGGGGCAGAGGCTCTAGAGGCGGAGCGAAAGCAGATTTGATGAAACAGGCGGAGATGCTTCTCGCCATGGCCGATAGTTTGCGAAGCTGATCCTGAAGCTCGCCCAACCTGCGAAAACTTCAGAAACTATTGGATTTTTTTTGCCTCCTGCATGGCTGAGGGATGAATGCCGCAGTAAGCAAGCAAATGCCTCCCGTTATACTTGGCGAAATTCTTGTCTACCAGCTTGGCTTTGTTCTCCGCATCCTTCGTAGCCTGGACCCAAGAGTAGTCGCCACAGCTCCGGCGATTTCTCATCACCAGTGTCAATTTTCAAAGCCGCTGCTGGTGAAGCCGAGAGCCCGGCGTCGTTGAACTCTTCCACGGCACCCTCGATCTGAACGTTATCCTCTGCCGTGCCTTCGAATGCATCCTTTTCTCCTTGGTTCGCCGCACAGCACGGCTGCGGGACGACCAAGCTAAGCATGAGGCACTCTGAGTGCATCCCAGGGTCGATCCGACCCACCGGCATCCTCGTCTTCATCCTTAACTGGATGCCGCATTTCTCACAACCTGTAGCAGTCCGCCCCCCTTGCCGCGCCTCGTCGAGGCCGCTGTCGTCAGGCTGAGGCCCAGGGTCACTGCTCCCGGCCTGTCTCAAAGTCGAAACATCTCAGATCATCGCAGCATCGCAGAGTACCGCAGAGCCCCCGAAGAAGCGGATGAGCGTGACAGCGTGACAGGCCTCCCGTCTGGAGGGCCCATGTCTAGCAGTTTGCCGGGCCTGAAACAAGTGCAGCGGCGAGCTTCAACTCGACAGACCGACGGACATTCTGGCGCTCCCACCTTTGCTTCATGTGACTCGAGCACCTGCGAAGACGGTCCTTCCCCTTTTTACGTTGCGATCATGGCCGAACCTCGTCGTCATCGACCATGTCGCGCACGGAATGCGCACAACTCCTGAGGCCCGCGACAAAACAACCACGAAGAAGACCGGCTCGGCACTTCTTGCTCAGAAGCTGAGCTTGGCACAAGGCCGTCAGCAAAATGAAAAAGTACAGTCGCATAACTCATGAGAAGTTGTGCGAAAAACCTGCCGCAAGCGCAAAGCAAAGCTTTTGTTCGGTCTGCACGTGCTTGGCCTGCTGTGATCCTGCACCGCTTCAGAGGGCAGGAAAGGGCAGGAAACGGACCTGAAACTTGAGCCTCGGCAGCTACAAGTACCTGCATGAGAGTGCTTTGCCGTGTGGCGCGCTCGTGGGCGCTGTCGGGCTCCGCCGCTCCGCTTCGAGAGGCCAAGCTGCCGCTTTTCAGCAATGCTCCAGTCGGCATCGCTGGGAGGACATGCAGCTCGCAACCGGCTCGACCTTGGCACCAGAGACTTTTGCTCCGGGCAACAGTGACGACAGAGCTGTCGGAAAGTGGCTTTGCCAGATCCTTGGCTCTAGCCGAAAAGCGATTTCAGAGACTTGCGCTCCTTGCCAGGCACAGGACTTTCCAGAGGCTCTTGCGACCGTGTCCAAACGCAGATGCGAGTAGCTAGAGGCTTTGGCGGTTGTTGAGGTTTCGTCAGACATCTGACAATTGTGGGGCCCGGGTCCGGCTGTGCCTCCGTGGCCTGCACCACCTTCGAAAACCGCGACCGCGGATTGTCCTCCGTCACGGCCACGGCCCTGAACGCATGGACTCGGGAAGCTCGTAGTGCTTTTACTCTGAGTCAACTCCACGCCGCCTCATCACAGTGCCTTGGTTCATGGCGCTGAAAGCACCGAAGCCCTTCAAACCGCTCAACCTGCAAGCGAGGCTGAGTGGCATCCAGTCAGCTTCTTCCAGAGTGCGCGTGAGACTGAGCGAGAGTGTGAGGTTGGTGTCTGTGCGTGTGTCTGCGGCCGGCTTATACAACTGAAAGTTGGCACAACATGGGCCCTGGGCCCTGGGCCCCGAGAGAGCCCTCTAACGCATGCTCCTTCGTTTCCCCCTCTCCGGTCCAATGGCTCTCAAATTTAGGCACTGCGTGATTCCTATCACCGCTTCTTCCATCGTTGAGTCAGAACGAACGTTCAGGGCGAACGCTTGAACACATCCACGGGTGCCCCGAGCCCTGAATCAGACAATGCGTGAGAGGGGGGTCTGGAGTCCGGAGCGCATGCTCTGCTGGAATCTAACCCCTGTGTTGCCGGGTGGTCGGCTCCCATGGGTTGGCAAGGCCTTCGGCGATTGTCAGGTCATGTCCGGTTAGCACGCCAGATCGCAGTGGTCCGCACTTCGAAGCGAGTTGGATTTTCAGGATGAGTTACTCAATATCATGTGTACACGGTGACGGCGTGCACAGGTTCCCGTATCCTTGCAATCCAGATGCAGGCGCATCGTTTCGTACGACCAGACCTTGCCTGAAAGCAGATACATCTTGTGTTAAAGTTTGAGGTAGGCTCTCCGGTTCCTTAGTTCGACATTGACAACCGTACATTGCGGCAAGCAAGCAGCAAGACAGGAGGCAGGCAGGTGCATGCTGCATGTGGGTTCACTCATGAACTCAATGAGTCATACGGCCACACGTAAAGGCGCTCACACTCACTTCACTGGAAAAGCTCACCAAGAAGGCATGGCTCAGTCTCAGCGCAAGATCTTTTTGCGTCTGCAGAGGGAGAGCATGTGCATGACTTCACAAGTCGGTGTAAAGGTTCCACGCGCGGAGGCCCGCTCTCACTGAAGCATCAGCCAAATGGGGCGCGGCGAAAAGCGGCCCTAACTGGCTTGGGGGGATGCCGATGATGTAGCGACGTCATCTTCTGGGCGAAAGTTCAGGAAACCGCGGCAAGAAGCAAGAAGCGCTTTCATGACCTGCCGAGCCTGGCTCTGAGTCGCCCTCCGCGCCCTTCCCGTCCCTGGACCGGTCCTTGGTGTCACTGGAGGTCACTGTGACATGGTTTCGTGCACGACTGCTGCGGAAGGTCCAGCTTGATATTCATGAGCGGAGAGTACCTTTGTGTCCAACTGTCGACACAGCCTACTGGTTGCTTGATGCACAGATACGCATGGCTGATTTGAAAGCCTTACCGTAAGATTCTGCTGGTGCGCTTGGGACCCTCGACATCTTCGAAGTACTGCATGATCTCCTAAGATCAGGAAGATCAGTAAGATAAGCGTTAGAGAACTTCGGAACAACGCGGGCAAGCTCCTCCTGCCATCGGAAGGTCTTCTGAGACAGCCTGAGGGTCGCGTGACGGCGCGTCTTTCGGCCATCTGCAAACTCCCCCAGATATTCCCTTGCCTCTTCAAGGTCTCGTCCAGCTTCTTGATCTTCTCATCCTCTGATTGGATGTTTGGCTGGGGGTAGGGGACAAAACTCTGGCGATTCCTGGCTCATAGCCCAGGGCGAGCATTGAGGCGTCAGATGAGGCTGCATCCGTCCAAACCGTCGTTTTGCTGCGTTGGATGACAACTTGGCACCGGCATGTGTTGCTTCGGAACTCCGAACAAGGCACCTCCTTGGCAAAGTCTTTGTCCACCCTCTTGGACTTCTCTTGTGCATCATGCGTTGCTGATTCCACCTTTTCGACCTCAGCATCCGCACCCTTGCGAGCACTCTCCATGACTGAAATGTATCAACCGGTTGAGCAAAGAGGCGTCCTCTTTCACTTTCTCAGAATCTTCACCTGCCTTCTGGAAATCTTCTTTGGCTGACTCGTTCTGCTGTTGCGCACTCGTCTCAGCTGGCTGTTGTGTCGTTGTATCGTCCAGCACATCGGCAGCAGAGGACACAGCCTAAGCCAAGACAGCTGACGGTCTTCTACGCCTGCTGTGCTTCTGCTTGTGCACGTCGAGCAACAGAGGAAACGCGCTGGCCATGCAAGACTTCGCGGGCTTCTGCAGTGTCAAGATGCCTTGGACGTCAGAGTTGCATGGCATTGCATGGCACCGGCACGCACCGGCACCCAGCGGCGTAAGGCAACGGCGATGTGACAAGAGTCAGAGACAAGTTGCACGGCCAGCTGCCGCTCCAGGCGGAGATCTTCGCTTTGCTCCTGAAACGGACGCAACCCGCAACGTTTGCACACCCACCGCATGTGTGTCCCACACGAGCGTCGAAGCGAAATGCGTGCCTTGTCCAGGTCACGGCCGCCTTGGACCGAGCGCCGAAAATCCGCCGGGCGATCCAGGCCGACCTCCTCTTCCCGACTCGCTTGAAGCGCATCTTCCGCCCCTGCAAGCATGTGTTGCAGAGCCCTGGGGCGTGTCTCCATCCTCTTGCTCCGCTGAACCTGCGAACAGGCTTGGCTCAACAAAGCCATAAGCCATGTCCTATTGGCTCCACACCGTCCTCGCCTCGAGGTCGACATCACGGGTAGCTGCACAGAGCAAACGGAGCACAAGGAGCACAAGTGCACCGAAGGCGCTGAAGGGCATGGGCCACCAGACTGGGCCACCGGGCCACCGGGGCCAGCAAGGACCCGGCCAAGACACCCTCACATTACATGGAAGGCCTGAGGAAAACGAAAACACCTGGCTCTAAGCCTCGAGCCCAGGGTGAGAAAACGGGTGCCGCACGCAAATGACATGAAAAGTGGGCTGCACTACTCATGGCTTCTCCCTGCCTTCGGTTCCCGCTCGAACTGGGCTGTGGCGCTGTGCTTGGCTCTTTGGACGGGGGCCTCCGAGGCCACAGCGGGAGTACGGGCCGGGGTCGTGGATTTGAAAGGTGTTGTGCCTGATAGATGGTGCATTGGCCGACCCTCGGAAGCCCTGACTTGTATGTGCCTGGCAATACGTTTCAAGAAATACTCGTGCCTATGTTCTCAGACACCGGCCTCCGAAGCATCAGGAGCACTCAAGCCAGAGTCTGCTAAGCCGGAACGGACAGGAGCAGAAGCATGTTCTGTTCCTGCTGGCTGCTCGAGCTCGGCTAGGGTGCACATCACAAGCAGCGAAAGCAAAGGCACGATGTCCTCGCACAGCTAGCTCCTTGCCTAGAGGTCAGCGTGACAACAGACATGACAACACTAGTCGCCGAACGTTTCACCGGCACCGCTTTGCAGAAACCACACCGCTTGTAAGACCAGTTGCTCTCTGCTTCCGCAAATATTTGACGATTTCCACCCATCTGATTGCGAACCTCGGCAAACCACATGACTCAGACTTTTGCCAAATTCAACGGGTAATACCTTCTCCACCAGGCCGTCGAAATCGCGGTGGTCATCCCACCTGATGCTTCTATCACCGGGCGTTGTGCGAGGCACACAGTTCCGCTTGTCTTCGGGGCAAACCCGTGAATCCGAGCATGGCCACCATTTCTTGCGGAGTAATCGAATCTTGTCTTGCTGCTCCTTGAGCTCCCTTTTGCACTGATGGTACCTGAAGCTGCAAGGGATCGAACGGGCTCGAACGGTCGGAAAACCCAAGTGCGCATCTGATGCAACAGAGCCTCGATTGGATGCCGAGCTACGCAGGGGGCGCCTTGACCTCCTCCTCATGAACCAAGCCCAGGACTTCACGCACCTCAACACACTGTCTTGGCTTTAAGGGGCACCGCTTCCAAATTCTCAAAAGTAAGCCTTTGGCAGCAGCCACGATGTCGATATCACCTCGGGCATTGCCTACTACAAGCTAACACGAGCTCCAGTGCTGCGCAGAAACCTGCTACATTGATACACCTGCAGGTACAAGGCTTGGCTTCCACACCCTTACTCTTCAGCAGAGCCTTCAATTTCTTCAGCTTCGAATCCTCAGTAATCCCACTGAGCACGCCAAGCATGTCGGGTTGAACTGATAGGAGAGGGAGAGAGAGAGAGAGAGAGAGAGAGAGAGAGAGAGAATGTACAAATATATAATATATGTAATTTCGTCACCTGCCTGTTCCGTCGTGATTTCCATGATCTCTACTCATCGGGAAGACAGTTCGAAGCCAGCCAGACGGCAGACTCGTTGGCTACATCAACTCGAGGATACCCAGTCCGTCAGGTCACGGAACGGCAGACCGCAAGACGTATCCTGCTAGCCTCAGGGCGTGACGATGTCGTGGATTTCCCCCCGCATTTCCTCCAAAACCGTTGCTTCCAAAAGCGGACGCACCAGGCCAACGCAACGTCTCAGGCCTCTGTCCGTGCTTGGACTTTTACGAGTTCTGCCACTGAGGTGGTCGCCTGAACGCTTCTCATCTTGCCAGGATTCTCGAGGTGCGGGCAGAGTGCGGACCGCGGGCCTCCTCCTGCACGGACATGCCGAAGCCTTCTGCCTCGGTCCCATTCACGGCTTCGCTACTGCAGATCGGCTCCGTCCGAGGCTCCCGGCAGTTGGAGGTCGAGTCTTGGAGCCAGGGCCAGGGGAGCTCCCGGGCGCGACGGTCGCCTCGGCCTCCCTTTGCTCCGCGATTTCGCTGTTGGGCTCGAGACCTGCCCTGCCTGGAGACACCTGGCCATGAAGAGTCACGCCTACGCTTCACAAGCCTCTCAACGGCTCCGCAACAGCTCTGCTGGGTGCAGGAAAGTCCTCGCCTTGTCGGGCTCTGCATCCGATGCAGCCCCGCTTGGCAGCTCCGAATCCACAGCTCTGGAAGCTGAATGTGCTTCAAGCTCCTCGGTGACCTCGTCTTGGCCCTCCTCGCCTGTCCCAGTACCAGCTTCGTGGATGCCTGCAGAAGCACAATCACATGCCAAACACCTCGGCGAAACAAGGCCAAAAAACCGAGGCCGGAACTCCTCGAACTGGGAGGTCTCGAAGGAGCTGACCTCGCGCTTGGAGACCGAGCTGGAAGGTCGGCTCTGGCGCTGAGCGACCTCGCCAGGTGCTCGGGCCTCGCACTGAGAGAGCCGGTAGGCTCAGCCCGTGTGCTCGAGGCTCTCTGAGGGGCACCCGCCACGAGCGACTCGTTGGCTCCCGATGGGCTTGGGGACCTGTCGCCGGTGGCGCTGGGTGGCCTGGATCTGGCGCTGGCTGGTCTCGACTGTTCCGCGTGCTCTCTTGCACTCGCTGGTCTTGACAGATCTCCCCGAGAGCTCGTCTGCCTTGACGGCCCATTGTCGTCCGGTTGTTCAAGCAGGTTCGGCCGCCCATGGCCCTCTATGGCCTGCCTGCGGCTTCAATGCGCATGGAATATGGAGCACTGGACAGTCCTTGTAGACGCCGGAAGTGCGGCCAAGCTTCTGCTGATCCTGGTCGCTTTTGTTGATCGACTTTTGCCTCCACGGAATCGTGAGCTGACTTGTTTTCAGATGACACTGTTTCGTGTCCCATGCCATGGCATGCCATGGCAGCTGAGGTTCTAGCCCAACTTGAGTCTTGAGCTCGTCTATCCTGAGGTCAGGTCAACAAACGCGCCCCCCCAAGGCTTGCGAGGCCCGTGAGGCCCGTGCTGATTTTGGAGGTCACGGTACACCTTCTCCTCAAATTTGATCTGCTCCTGCAGACCTGCCATTTATGGCAGAAGCTTCTGCAAAGACATAAAAAACCTGCAAAGAGGCACCTTCCAGAGTCTTGGGAGCATCTTGATCCTCGGCGGCAGCGCAGGTCCAACACCAACCCAAGTGACTCAGAGAGGCAATCCTTCAGTCGACAAGAGCGAAGTTCCCGCAAAGACTTCCATGCAGGCAGGAGGATCGACATTCCAAGCTTGTTCAGCACACCATAGCGCACCGGTGGGGTGAAGTAAGTTAGTCAAAGCATTAGCAAAACATCGCGTGGATGTAGCTTAGCAAGTCCGAAACAGCGCTTCATTCTTTTTGTCCTGCCGGGTTGCGCTTGAAGAGAGCTGGTGGAACTCTTTGCGAAGGTCCTTGATCTCCTGGGCACACGATTGCTTCCACACCCATCCCAGCTAGAGTTACTCCGCCACAAACAAAGCGGCAGACATGGAACAAGAACCCACCCCGGACAAGAACGATAAAGCCAAGGGCATAACGACATAATCATCATCACCATCATCACCACCATCACCATGACAATCATCACCATCACCATCATCCCCACCACAACCATCATCACCATCATCATCATCCCCATCCCCATCCCCAACCCAATCATCATCATCACCATCATCATGATGTCCGCCACCGTCGCCATCGCCGTCGCCATGCTCGTCGTCCTCCTTGTCACCGCTTGTCGCCTTCACAGTTCACGTCATCATCAACCCCACCATCGTCATGAGGAGCAGCAGCAGCAGCAGCATCAGCAGCATCAGCAGCAGCAGCAGCAGCGGCAGCAGCAGCTGTTTGCAAGCTGACCCTGCCTTGCGCAATGTTTTCTGGCGCACTTTCTCCTGGAATATCAGCATTCAAGCCGCTGACAACTGGAGCGCATCCACCAATAGTCACAGGAATGAAATCACTTCCCTGGATGAGGCTGACATGCTAAGGCCAGTCTCCATCTCTGGCTTCAACCCGATGCATCTCTACAGCTTTAACATTCTGAGTCTGCTGCTACACCTGTCGCAAATTGCCAATCTGAAACGTCGAATGTGCACCCAAGAAGTCGCAAGACATGTCCTCTCGAAGGCTGTTGGAGCTCTCAGACAAGGCTGCTTGCCTCAGGCACGGTGCGCAGATTGCAGCTTGCAATCGGACCCATCCACTGAATCCAAGCAGCAGGTCTTCGACCTTTGCAGCTGTACGTATGTATATGCTTCAGCCGTGGCCGCGATGGAAGAACGAGCCTCTTTCTTCAGCTGCTCTTCTATCTCCAGTCCCTGAAATGAGGGATTTGTCACAGATGGCAGCTGTCGCAGCAGGGCTCGGAGCCTCGTTGCTCTTGGTGCTCAGACCGAGGATTTTGCTCGCCAGGCTGGGTGGCGCTTTGCGCTCCGGTGGACTCGCTGGGCTCACCGGACTGCCCGGACTGCCCGGACTTTCTGGTCTCGATGGTCTAGCTGAGGCTGGCCGCGCTGGCACTGGGGCCTCTGCATCTGGTTGGACCCTTAGTGGGACAGTACACTGCGAAACTTCCACTCGAGTCTTAGTCTTTCCGTTCCGAGAACTCTTCGAGCCGAGATGCTCTGCAGCCTTTTCACTCTCCAAACGTCCATCGGCCCTTATCGTTCAGAAGATGCATCAATAACGGCAACAGTTGCACACAAGCATATCAGCAAAACCCCAAACGATCAGGTTCGACGTTTGGCTCCAAGTCGCCGAGTCGGCCCCGACTCGGGAGCCGCTGGCTCGGGCGCCTCCTTCTCCGACGGCGGCTCCGCCTCCGCCTGCCAAGGTTCTTGGACAAACTTCCGGGGCCTGATCTACTTGGCTTACGACATCATGCGCTCCTCACTGGCAGATTCTTCGGAAACATCATCTGCAGACGGTATGTCGTCAAGGCTCGGTGGTTCAAACCTCAGCAGTGTGCAAGATACAGGAAGCTCAGATCTCTGGTCACGATGTGCTTACAAGCATCTCCTGCACGATGCTGTCAAATCCTTTCTTGGCCTGAAGTGCAGCCCGACCCTGCTTTCGAGGCCAGCACCGCATCACCCGGCCTTCTTCCGACAGTAGTGCAAGAGTCGCCGCTCAAAGCGCATTCGTTTCAGAAGCTTCCGGGCTTGCTCGATTTGGCCGTCCTCACAATACCAAAGCATGTCTTGGAAAGCCCCAACATCAAAACTTCAAAACCTCCAGAATTCAAGTGTCTAAGGGTCCTTTGTCGCAATGTGCTCACGCAGCATCTTGACCTGAAGAGCGAGGATTATGCGAAGACTTCATCTCAAACCCCCCCCCCCCTTTGCGCCTTGGGGTCATCCTTGAAATCCTCGACCGAATGGAAATGGCGAGCTCCGGCACTTCCAGCGGGTGCATCCCTGTTCAGTGTGGAAAGGGCGGCTGCTGTCCTGCAAGCGCCACGCACAAGAGGGACCTAGGGAGATACAGTCGACCCCTGAGTCCCTCATGGCTCAGGCGGCTCAGGCCTGGCTGCCTGCTTCATCCTTTGCGCGGCACTTGCTTTCGGCTGAGCTCCCTGGATCTGAAGGCCCTGGCCCGCGCCGGCTGAAGACTCAGACTCAACATGAAATCTGTGCAGCCAACTTGCCTCCAGCCGTGCATCCAAGACAGCAGATTTGTTCTGCTTGGAAGTTGATCCTCAGCAAGGCAAATGAAATCGACCCAGGATAGGAAAGCAAGCGCAGCTCCATACCCATCCATCTATTGTGACCATTTGCGGTCCACGGGGTGACAATGGAACGCTAGCCACTAGCACTCAGCTCGCAGAGCTAGACTCGGAACTGCAGCGCACCGCGGGCATAGCCGTGCAACAAGACAGTGCCCCACCAAGTGGCGGGAACTCTCCTCGCCACGGTCCGGCTCGGAATGATCATCCAAAAGCTTCTCCAGCTTGGCGTCTTGCTCCTCCTGCCACGAGGTATGCCGAGAGGAAGAGCAAAGGATTTGCATATCTGCACTGAGGTGGCTCCTCCTGCGACTTTTCCTTCTCTTCTCGCTGCTTCTGAAAGGCTTCCTTGGCTGCCGGCTGTCTGGGACCAAAAGGGCGCCAGGCCCTTGCTCCAGAATCAGAAGGCAGCAAAGCTTCGATGTCCTTTTCCTGTTCCGCCAGGATTCTCTCGAGCTCCTGGCATTCCTCCTCCAACTCCTGGAAGGCGCAAAGCAAGGCATCCGTGCTGTAGGTTGCAGGTCAGCTGCCTCCGCATCAGGCACGTCTTCAAGGTCACCCACATCGATTTCCGAGAAAAGCTTCTTGTGCAGCCTTTTCACATACTCAACCTCGGATCGGAAGTTGCCGCCACCTGCGAAAACAAGTTCACCAACCCATGGCCGCCTTGGAGCGCCCACAGCGCCCACACGAGGCACTTCAACTGGTCACACCAGACGAGACGTGCATACTCGGCCGTCAAACAAGTTTGAGTTGCTTCTGAAAAACGATATTCTACTCTTCCGATTTTGTTATTCAGGTCAGCATGCTAAAACCTCTGAACATGGCATTCCCTGATCGCACCCCCAAAGCTTTGGCGGCGGCACGAGGTTGCTCTTGCTTTCGAGTCCATGCCGCGAGAGGTGGCAATGGGATATAATGGGCTTCTAGTGCAGCTGGGCCACCATGGCTTCATCCTCAGATTCGGCGTTTAGGAGTAGACAAGACACATTTCACCACCGAAGCGGCGCGCTTTTACCAAGGCAAGAGTCCTCCGGCGAGGGACTGTCGAAGTCCAGGAGTATGCCTGCCTTGAAATTGCGCGTGAGAAAATCGACGGCTGCATTCATCGTGGCTGTAGCCTGCATGGCCACCAGCAAACATGGAAACCTGCGGAGAAGCTTCTGTCGTTTCAACAAAAATCTCGATGTTGCCTTCTTGGCCAGCTCGGATCTTCCTTGCACGCAAAGTTTCAATATCCGTGAATGCTTACACTCAGACTCAGGTGTCTCGTGTAGTCGAGGCGCGCTGCAACTCCGCATTGCCTTCCTGGACCACCACCATCGCCTGGAGAGCGAGATTTCGATCGGCTCAAGACACGAGGCAAACCGCATGAGGCCCGCATGCCTGAAGAATTTCGATTGCCGACCCTTTGCCGCCAGCCACCTTCCCGGCCTTCTCATTCATCCGGCTCCTCGGATTCCCCAGGACCAGGGAGTCTCTTGCCACTACTTGTTACTGTGGCCAAGTTTCCATAGCTCCTTAGCACGATTCAGATCCCAAACATCTTGATCCTTCAAGTCCTCGGCACGGGACTGATTTCATCGGTAGCGCATTTGCCTGACACATCAAAACAAAGGCCTCCTCATTCACGACGACTTCAGGCAGCTCCTTCGTGGGCAAGGCTCTCAACTAGAACAACTCGCCCGCCAAGTGTAGATTGCACAGGGGTCCTCCTCTTCCTCTGGTGCTTCCTCTAGGGCCTCTTCCTGATGTGCAGGGTGAGCCGTTGTGTTACCGGTTCCGCACTGTCTTTTTTACATCCACGGCACCTTGTCCTCGTCCGCCCCGAAAAGCTCGAGAAACGTGGGCCTGGCCGCGCCAGCTTCGGCTTTTGGCTCCTGGAATCGGGAGAGGAGGGTTGATGGGTTTTCACTCAAAGGCATTGTGCAGAATCGCTCCTTCTCTTCTGGCTCCTGTATCATGGTGACCTTCTTCTTCGGTGCAGCTCTACTCTTGGCAGCCTTTGAGAACCTGTCAAACAACACCGCAAACTGCTGGAATCGCATCAAGACAAAACATCGCTCCGAAACTTGAATAGGGGCACTTCTGCCGCTTGCGGAAGGTGCCATTGGCACCCGCTTGGAGGGTCGCGCTGCACCTCACAATTGTTACAACTTTCATAGCTTTGCTCGACCCATTTCAGAACGGCACGTGCTCACGAATGCTAGGCTGTCGGCTTGACAAGTACTTGTACCTCTGTCATGCCTTTCGATTCAAAGGCCTTCACCATACTGTTCGAGGACTCCTGGAAAGGCGCCACTGTCCACACGTCAGAGTCGTTGAGTCCTCGGCCGGATGCGGGGAGGCCTTGGTCTCCTCATCCCTGCCAGCGATGTCACACGCGAGAGTTCTGTCCGTCTGCACGCCCTCCGCCACGGCCTGTCGTAGAAGTCCTTTTCCAGAGTCTCGAGTTCGGCCATCTCTGTCTCCACGATGTGCTTTCGGTTTTGATAGAAGCTATGTAGTGAGTCCTTGACACGGCATCTTGCGACACCAACCGTGGCCGTAGTGCTGCTGAAGGCATGTTGAAATCAATGGCGCTGAGAGCCGCCGTTTCAAACACAAACAGAACTGTGCACAACTTGCTTCCGTGTCTCCATGATCTCGATGCGATCTTGGCACCTCAGCATCAGCACCGACATCATCCAGAACCATCGTGCATACACGAAACACTCCAACGATCTGGGGGTGGCACTTTAAGTTTTGCAGCATTGAACCTATGCGTTCTCCGGCTGCTTCATGGTCATAGTCTTCGAGATCGCTATCCTGGATACGGAAGAACTCAAACACCTATGTCAATCCGGCTGGGCTGCTCATTGTGCCACACCCCAAATGCCGACGGCACTGCAGACATGCGGCAAGTTCCACGACATTGTCTTCCTCGTTTTGTTCTGAATGAGGTGTACTGCTGCCTGTGCTGTCCTGCGCGTTGCCGCTGCTAGCGCAGACTCGTGCCCCTCATCATGCTGAAAGCCATCACTGACTTGACAACTCGATGCCTGGACGGAGCCCTCCTTGGAATCAGCACGAGTATCTAAAGCTGTCAATGGGCCCACAAACGTCGCTGCGAAGTGCCTCTTGAACAGGCTCATTGATGAAGCTCGTCGTAAAGGCGACCGCATTTTCCTCTGCCCTCGGTTTCAACAAAAACAAAGATAAACAAGGCTTACCGCTGGCTCCTTGTGCTGGGCCAAGGGCTGCTGCTGCTCTCGAGCTTCCTCTGCTTGCTGCTCAAGCTCCTCCGAATTGGCATGGCTACGGAAGCCCAAGCTGACTGAAGAAAAAGCCAAGGCCGAGGTGCTGCTTTGGTTGCATACCTGCAAGACACTGCGAGACATGGCTTGGTGTGTGGCCCTGTGATCCGGTGAACAATTTCCAGGTGTTTCCGGCCAGGGTGCAACAAGTTCACATCCTTCGAAATGCGAGAGGCAATGTGTAACATCTGCTTGGCATTGCCAGCACCTGCAGCGGTAAAGCGTGCACACACCAGTACAAAATCCTCAGAGAAGCTTCAGAGACCATGCGAAGATCAACGGAAGCCTGTGAGCGGGAAGAGATTTCCAATGGATCGCCTGACTGCACCGACTTTCAGGCGAGTGCTTCCACACAGAGCGTCGCCTTCCGCCCGAATGGCGTCTGCTGCTTTGTCGCGTGGCATAGCTGGCGCCTTGCGCTCTCGCCCGAAAACGCAGCGAAGCACAGCAAAGCACATCTCACATGAAGAAAACGAGATCTGGGCTGGATTCTCGCTCGTACAAAGATGCATCCGAATCACCACGGCGCTGCCGGATGCCTCGTGGGGAATGCTGGCACTTCAACTAGCTATGTGCCTGGTCATCAGAAACGCTGAGACCGAAGCTGCTGCGCGAGGCGCTTTGAACGAATCCTCGCGAGAGAACTTGCAAAGCTGCTCCGACTGCACCGAGTCCGACATCGGCTTGCTTCTGCGCTCGCATTCCCGTGCACATCGGTGTGGCCGTGGGGGCGGGCACGAATGGCTCCTGTTGGCTTGTGTGTTCTTGGGTAACCGCCACATGTGCGTGCGATCAGTGGGGCGAAGAGGCTGCACCAAACCGACCAGCTCGGCACTGCATCCTGCATCCTGTTTTTCTACAGTTGGAAACCTCGCGTCACGCTGCGATTGTCATGCGTTTTCGGTGCAAAGTCTTGAAGCCAAGTTGCGGGACGTGCATAGATTGTGAATCCGGGTCTTGGCAAAGAAGAGTTGGACGGTGCTGCGTTGTAGTCATGGTGGGTCAGCATGCTCTTTTGTACTGTCGCTCAACATCCACGACGCTGGGCCGTGTTGAGGGGCCATGCGGCTTACCCCAAGCACATGCCTGAGAATGAACTTGCCAACCGTGTGGGTGCACACGTGCTTCGACAGGCCTTTCATACGCCGCCCCGATCATAACGACAGCAGCGCATGGAACGGCACATGCTGAACCAAAGTCAGCTGCGGAAGATCCTCCACCCCTCATGCAGTCTTTCAAGGAAGCATCTTCGGCAAGCGCGGGGCACATGCTACACAATCCATCGTTGTCCTTGCCACCTGTGTGTCACATTCTGGCGCTTTGTTACGCTCATCTTTGCAATAGTACCATTTGCGGTGGCTTCTTTTCAAGTTCCGAGGGTAGCAGGCTCGCAGGCTCATGGGTGAAACGAGCAACTTGGCTGCGTTGCAGGATGGACCCTCCTAGGCCTAGGCGTGCAAGCTCGGCTCCAGCATGGCCTGCCGGCACTTCCAGAAAAGGTTCATCGTGCGGTTGATCAAAACACCGCGAGCATCTACTCGATATCCAAGGGTCTCTATAGAGCTTTGCGAGAACTGAACCGCTAAATGACCTGGATCCGTCAGATTTCTGCATGGTCCTTGCTCTGACCAGGAACTCGCTGGAATTACTCGCGGTACCGTCGAAATCAAACCGTTCGTTGCCATGGCCTTCAACACGAGGCCGTCGGTACAAACGTCTGGACTCTGTGTCACTGCTTTTTTCGGCTTGGCTTTCAGTGCTTCTATCATCTGCACAACAATCCTTTCATACTCCATCTTGGTACCGGACATGAGCGAGCTTGAATCATGTTGGTAAATAGTGAAGTCACCATTGTTGGATATCTCCTGGCCAGGGGTGAGGTAAGTGGGCACGGTATCGAGATCGGCCAACCAACCACCACCAACAGCTGCCATTGCTGCGTAGCGCAAGTAACATGCAGTCTCTCTGCTGCGATGCGCCACACGCGCCTGCGACAAAGCTTCCAACATGGCCTTGTACAGTTCCGTGTGCTGAGCTTCAAAAGTTGTTAGAACACGGATGTGCCATCCGGCACGCCGCCAACTGTACATCCAAGCTGACAACGCTTCGGTGGCTGCATGCGGCGCATCCAAAGACTCGTACTGCCATTCATGGAAAACGTGGATGATACGCTTCGCGACGGGATGTCCCCGAGTCTTCTCCACGATTTCCTTGCACACCAAAGCTCCGGCCACCAGTACAAATGCTATTGCAAGCCCTTGGCCGACAGCACGAATCCACAATTTCAACATGGCGACGCATCACTCGCCTAGTGAATCTAGTTATATTATATTCCTATAGTGCCACGCTAGAAATATTTTCTCCTGCTGTGTGCAAAAAGACCGACCGGCTGCTCAATACACACTGTAACATACCTCCCATAGCTTCGTGCCATGTCGTACCTTTCACAATGCTTGCAATAATGGCCAATCTGCTTTCCTCTTTATCGCCGAAACTGCCACAGCAACTTCGAACGGTAACCACCGAATGCACCATGAAACACACCACAAGCGCAATTCCCGGTAGACAAGGACATATCCGCAATACTCCGCAATCAAACATGCACACGGAAAAGCGCACCACGTAGCCAACGAGCCAAATCGTTTGTGATCGGAAAGTTTCACCGAATGCCACGGCGAGATGTGCAGCTCAAGCAACACTTAAATCCCAAATCGCATCTTGTGTTGCATGCGCAGCTATGAAAGCTCGGACATCGCCCCGACATGGATTGGATTTAACGACGGTTGGGCCTATACGCAAGCCGGAAATTCACAAATTAGACTCGGTCTGACCCACGGCGCTCTTTGCCCACTTGCCGCAAAACTGCGAAACACAGCCGCAGCGCGTGTTCAACGTGTTCACCGCAGGCCGGAAGACCAAGGTCGTTCCGCAGCTGTGTGCTCGGACGCCTGCTCTTGTTGTCGACCCGGACTATCGCCGGTGCCCCAGTCGGCCAGGACCGCATGCAGCTCTGGCAAGGGTCCCTCGCCGAACTCAGTGGCAGGCGGCAGCTCGAGGCGCGAGGCGGCGTAGGCGCGCTGGGAAGCGACCAAGTTCGCAGGCGTGCCAGCATGCGTCTCGACGTCCCCTCACGGGCCTGGAGCTTGTATGGCCGAGCAGCGTTGTCGAAGACCTGTCAGAGTTCTCGCGACGAGGCGGCGAAAAACGTCGCCCATGGCTGTGCCTCGCACCGGATGACAATCAAGGGGAAGGCTGCGAGCAAGTTGTATGCCGTTTTTTCCCTCGTAATCGGCCCGCAATCTCGGCTTTGGGGCCTAGCCTACCACTACCGGATCGGAAGGCCTAGGGGCTCAGGAAGGTCTCTAGATAAGAACGGCAATGGAATCAGGTAAGCTGACCACCAAAGCCACCAGACACACCTTTCCTGTTTCGGTCCCCGGCAGTCAGCCACAGGCCGGAACACAAGCAACCCGCGTAACCGACGGGTAAGCCAGGATTAGCGGCAGCCGCGCCCGGAAGGGAGCGGACGGACCAAAGTCATTGTAGGAGCAGACATCACAAGTTATGTCAATGTGGGGAAAAACTGACATGTAGCGTAATGAGGAGCAGCAGCTGCAAATTGAAGCGCAGGATCTGCGGCTCTGGTCATTGCACCGGAAAGCATGACTGTAGCCTTTCATACAGTAGGAGCAAGCTTGGCGGATACGGTTATTGCACCGGACTGCGCACCCAGAAGCATGACGATTTCCAGCATGAATCAGTGCACACCGAACGTGATCAGAGGAAACATGACCAGCTCGGCGACAGGACACAATCCTCTTTCTTCTACGGAGCATATTGACATGTAGGGTTATGAGGAGCAGCACCTGCAAGTTGAAGCGCAGGATCTGCGGCTCTGGTTATTGCACCGGAAAGCATGACTGCAGCCTTTCAAACAGTAGGAGCAAGCTTGGCGGATACGGTTATTGCACCGGACAGCGCACCCGGAAGAATGACGATTTTCATCATGAATCACTGCACTCCGAACATGATCAAAGGAAACATGACCAGCTCGGCGACAGGACACAATCCTCTTTTTCTACGGATCATACTGACACGTAGCATTATGAGCAGCAGTAGCTGCAAATTGAAGCACCGGAGTTGCGGCTCTGGTTATTGCACCGGAAAGCATGACTGTAGCCTGTCGAACAGTAGGAGCAAGCTTGGCGGACACGGTTATTGCACCAGCATCACGATTTTCAGCATGAATCACTGCACACCGAACATGATCAGAGGAAACATGACCAGCTCGGCGACAGGACACAATCTTCTTTTTCCACGGAGCAGCCGCAGCCCGCTTCTGCACATGTCGCAGGAGTTTCCCTGCCGCCTCCAGCCAGGGCAAGACTTCCCGAGCCCCACTCAAGCTGCTACCCACAGCCACGCGAGTGGCAGCTGGCACATGTGCAAAGAACTGCCTAGCCACATCACATTGAAAGAGGAGATGCCGAACCGATTCAGCATCCGAGCTGCCACACAGCCTGCAAGATGGCGGAGCGCACAGCAGCTGATTTGAGACGTATCCTTGCAGCTTCAGCTGCATCCAGACTTGTGAATCAAAAATGCTGGGCCCCAAATGAGCCAGCTGAGAGATGGTCCAGTTGACGGGAGAGAAGTCTTTCCAATATAAACGGTTCTTTGAGGAGTGATGCCAAGTCTTCATTTCATGAGCATGAACATGCGGGACCACCACTGTTCGGTGCCCGAGCTGCGCCTTAGTCTTCGCAGGTGTCAATGGCGACACCACACCAGTGAACGGGGGAATCGCAAGGCATGATTCCTTCGCGTGCACAGCTGCTGGCCAGGAGGACGGCTCCACTTCAGCATACGAGAGGATTGAGTTCTCGTGGCTGTACCGAGGGTCTGCTGCGGAACGCCTCCGAAGCATGATGGCACGTGTTCAGGCAATCGCTGACAGACGGCCTTGGAAACCCAGTTCCCAAAGCAACACAACTCGAGGAACCAGTGCACAGCCTGAGATTTTCTTCATCCAGGAAGCTTGCATGGAATTGAGCTGTTTGTCGCTACAAGGAGTGTGAACCACAAGCTCAACACCGAATGCAACTGACGGCAGCATTCGAGTCCGTACAGATAGCAGCAGTGCATGCATGGGTAAGCCGGACGTACTCAACTGCATCTTGGAAGATCCTCGGGACACGATGTGGTGGATGCGCTCGACCATCATAGCGGGTATCCAGCACAATGCCCAGCCGCACATGTTGGTCTGCAAACTCTACCTCTGAACCTTGGAGCTGCAAGGGGCGACGCATGGCAAAGTTGCTCACCACCACCTTATTCTTGCCCTGCTTGTAAACCTACTGGTCTTGAGAAGCAACTCTCTCAAGCAGGTCTACTGCAACAGCAGCCTGACCCCAGGATGCTATAGCGACACGGGTGTCATCAACGAAGGAGCGCAGAGTACGCGAGATCGTGGATGCACCATCAAGCAAAGTCAGGCGGGCAACCCATCTTAATGCTCATGGAAGGCAGTGACTGTTTCCATGGGCGGGTTGATTCCGACACCCCATAAGCAAGTCTGAGCGCGTTTGCCCAGGTTTGCCTGAGCAACGGAGACAGCCTCCTGCCTTCAACTGTGCCCACAGAACCTGCACGATCGCATGCCGGGTCTAACTATGCTCATTGAGGTAGTTCGCAAGAGGTCATCAGCAATGCACGAAACGCGGGCCTCGGAGACGTGCTCAGCCAGTTTGAATAAAAAAATCGGGACTCGCTCTTTTCTGTCAATGAAGATTGTGCCGCAAGGCAGGTGCAAGGAGTGGCGAACAGACGCCACCGCAAGGTCAGCTGCAAGCATAACCAAGGCTTCACAGCGGCCTTCTTGGATGTGGCCCGTGCGAAGCCACATATGAGGCATTTTGCAGTAATGCCCAACTTGTAGGCCAATCCCTGCATCTCAAAGGCAAAACAAGCATTCGAATGAGACTCGGAGAGCAATGCAGCATACGGAATGCCGCGACAAGCGGCGAAAGAATCTATCTGACGAAGAGCACGCTGCATGTGGTCCCAAGTGAGCAGACCTGGCTTCACCATTTCGTAGATACATTCAAACATCAATCGCTTCAGTGTCTACCTTGCGGTTAAGCAATTCGGAGCCCGGCCTGGCAGGCATTCTAGCAGTTTAGGAGGTTCGGTCACAATGTTTGGCCTGGAATCTATGCCAACTAGGCCTCGAACGGTGTATCGCGTAGTACAAGTGTTCCGGAAATGAACGCCCATTGCGTGAATCTTATCTTGGCCTTTTGCTTCCTCCCCAAAGTAAGCTTCGAAAGTCGAGATTCGGTACGTGGTCTTCGGGTGTATCGCGCAGTATTTGTTCTTATAGTCCATGGTCTGGTGAGGCACGTCGTTGACCACGATCTCACCGCCAACGGTGGGTTTTTGCCCAAGCTCTACAGCCAAGACCAACCTTTTCATGACCTGGCTTACGCCGATGACACAGCACTCATAGCAGGCACTGCCCACATCCTGCAGCGTGTGGCGGCCCACAGCAACCTCCACCTCAACCTCACGAAGGGTGCTCTGTTACGTTCACCCACCTCACAGAGCACAGTCAACTTCACAGACGGCACCCCCTTCACAATCGAGCAACACGCCAAATACCCAGGAGTCACCCTGAGCACCAACGGCTCCTGCACAAAAACGTCACCACAAGACTTGCCAAAGCCCGCAAGCAATTCCACTAACTTCACCAATTCTGGCGCAATACAGACCTCACCTTGAAGTGGAAACTCAGAACATACAACGCAGTCTTCATTCCGCTCTTCACATACGGGCTGGAGCCAGCAGCGCTCACAGCCGGAGACTTACTATATACCACAAACTTTTTTCACTCACAATTCTGTCCGTCAGTGCCGGGATTGGGTCGGTACCCCCGCGCACGACTAGCTTCCGTGGCTTCGCGAAGCAACTGCAGCCACTCCACACGCCGGAAGAGCTCGCATCGCTTCTCGAGCTCGTTTGCCTGAACAGCCTGCGGCGCTGCGGGGCAGTGCAGCAGCATCTGGTGCGCAAGAAGGAAAAACTTCCAGCCGCAGAGGGCCCGGAGCCCGACCTGCATGAGCTCCTCGCCGACGCGCGGTGGGACTTTGCCTAGTCCTCCGCCTGCCCCCGCCCGGTAGGTCGCAGTTGCATTGGGACCCTCGTCGCGGACATGCTCGCGGTCAAAAGGTGCGTGTGAACAAAAAAGAAACAAAGCATGCCTTGCAGTTTACGGGGGGTTGCTTGCAGTGCG